ACACTTTGCACATTGCATATCTGCATGAAATAATCGATTAATTGTTTGATTAATCTCTTAAATTTCATCATATATCAGTATATGCTTATCAGAGTGAAAACACAAAGTTTTAACCGATTACATTATGTGTATAATCGATTAAAACTCGTTGTTATGCCAATACATGATTACCGAGTGCATTGATGTGTTCTAAATGGAAAAAGTTTTCAAAATTGCTTAAGTATGGAACTTAACTGATTATATTAATTTTCTAATAAGTTAAAATGTGTTTTATGTGAAAACTTTTTGGTTTAATGTTTCGGTAGGTCCTTATTTTTGTTCAGAATCTCAAATAGGTCCTTTTCTTTTTCGACGTCTCAACTGGATCCTTATTTTTGTAAAGTTGAATCAAATAGAGGCTTGCCGTCAAATTGAAAAGACACCGTTAAGGAGGGTGTTACGTGGCATGCTGACAGTGCTTTTTTAAATTACGTGGCATTAAAAACGTGTGGGAAGTGTATTTTTTTAATTTCTGAATTAAAAAATGGAGTACAAAGAAGGGAATTAAATTATAAATAAGGGCAAAGTGGTCAAAATAATCTAAATTAACTGCAGCAATCCCTTTCTGTGCAATTGTCAATTCGAAATCAGATTGTGGGAAGAAGATTAGGGCTTCATATTAGGGTTTGTGAGAGAAAACAATGCTTTGTGCATTCGGAGGAAGAGGAGGAAGGGAGCTTGGTGATGAAATGGTTAAGATAATCATATGGCGTGATGGAGCGAAGTCTCCATTTGAGATTGGACATGACCCAAATCTCCTCGTTTTTGGAGCAAAGACGAAGTTGGGTTCGAACAGTTGCAGGTCCAATAAAAACAGGACATGAGACTCTTCCATTTTTGCTACCAAAGACAGGCATGCCACTAATAGAAGCTGAAAAGGCCACCCACTCGATTGCTGCCACAAAATGAAAGTAAATTAAAATAAAAAATTATAAAATAATAAACAATAACAATGTCTAACTTAATGCCTAAAAAGCTTAACATTTTCGGGAGAAAAAGCGAAAGAAGAAAAGTGCATTACGGGAACAGAACATAGAGAGAGGAAATAGTCCAAATAGTTGACAGAGAGAAACGCCGTCACCAGAGAAAACTTGTAGAATGCTTGAATCTACATTGCCAAAAACAAATCACTCGTTCATGCATCTAAACCAAAGTGCTTATGCCCTAATCTCTCACGAACCCTAATTTGAAGCTCTAATCTTCTTCCCAAATCTGATTTCGAATTGGCTATTGCATAGAAAGGGGCTACTGTAGTTAATTTAGATTCTTTTGACTACTTTGCCCTTATTTAAATTTTAATTCCCCTCTTTGCACTCTATTTTTTAATTCACAAATTAAAAAAATACAATTCACAGACGTTTTTAATGTCACGTCATTTAAAAAAACACTTTCAGCATGTCAAGTAACACTCTCCTTAACTGCGTTTTTTTAATTTGACGTCAAGCCTCTATTTGATTCAATTTTACAAAAATAAGGACTCAATTGAGACACCGAAAAAGAAGGGGACCTAGTTGAGATTCTGGACAAAAATAGGGACCTACCGAAACATTAAACCAAACTTTTTTCTTAAAAAGACATCACTGTCAATAATGGTCATATTTTGAATGTTGTGGCTTGTATGAATTTATAATTGATTGTATGCATTTTTAATCTGTTAAATTTTGTGCAAATGTAAATATGTTAAAGTTTAAGGAAAACTTTAACCAATTATATTAATTGTTTAATCGATTAAAATGTGTCAGAGTTCAAAAATATATAAATAGACGCATTGCTCTCTGTACTTCAAAAATTTTATGATTCCTAACTTTCATAATTAACTTGATTGTTGAGATTTTAATTATAGGAGCGTCCTGAATTTCTTGAAGAATCAAGATTGCTTCATTGGAAGGAAATACTTAAAGATTCTTCCAAGAACTAAGTGTTTTCATATAGCTGATCGTTTCTACACATTGAGGTGTACTTCTTCAGATTAGTGTTCTTATACCATCAATGTTGATTGTATCCTTGTTGTTGCGGCCAGGAATAGGACTTGGTGAAGTTCTTTTACTTAGAGTTGAGATTGCTCTAAGGGTGACAAAAAGTGAGTGATCTTTCTGGGTGTATGTTATAGTTGATATTGAGTTAGAAAGGAGAGTACATTTAAGAGGATTGTTCTATGTATGTTTGCTTGTAAGAACTCTATCAATATAGTGGACCCCTTCATTTAATGTTGATTGAAGGAAGACTGGACGTAGGCATTGGGCCAAACTAGTATAAACAACTGTGTGAATCTCTCTATCCCTTCTCTTTTACATTGCTCTTATTCTTGATTGATTGCATCCCAAGAAAACATCAAAGATTTCAAAAAGTTCTTTACAGAACAATTTTTTAAAGGGAAAAACCAATTCACCCCCTCTTGGTTAAGAGTATTGGCTCAATGTTTTCTACAAATACAAATAAAAAACAAAAGCAAATAAAAAATTAGAGATAACCCAAACACACCCAAAATAGAAAAAAACTTCTCAAATGAGCAAAATAACAAACAATTAGAAATGGCTAAGAGAAACATGAAAATTTAGCACAGATTCAATGGTCGTTAAAAGAAAAAGATAGACAAATTTGAATTGACATAACTAAGAAATCAACAAAGAGATAAAACCAAAACTAAAGAATATCCAATGGAGCAACAATTAGGAAAGGAGAAAACCAAATTAACCACATGAACCCTGTTAAATACATATGAATAACATTTAATAATAATTTTCAATTGTGATATCACTAATAATAACATTTATTATAATATAAATGGTTAAATATGTTTTTGATCTCTAAATTTGGATACAAAATTAAAATTCTTATATCAAACTTTGATAATTTTAGTAAACAAACAAATAGACATAATTCTTTTACCAAACAAGGTTAACTTTCTTTTATGTGTTAAATTGGTATTTTAGATTGACATTTGAGTTGGAATGTATTAAAAGGTATAAACAATTCAAATGTTAGCTTATAACATCATTTAACATTTAAAATTTTAAAATGTATTAAAAGGTATAAACATTAATACCAATGAAAATTGAAATAACTGTACATTCTTTCATTTTTTAAATTTTAAATCAAAAAAATATTAAAGTTTAAAACACGAATTACACTATGCATCTAAGTAACTATAACCATATTTAATCAAAATATAAATAATTAACATATATATTAGTATCTTATATTTTTTTTAAGACATGTGATATATATCATCTTAAGCATCTTTTAAATAATTATTCAACCTTTTGGTAAAAGACATAAATAATTAAAATTACAACATAATATTAAGAATAAGAAATAATAATTTTTTATTTTAAAAATACAAAAACATATTTTATACGTTAATCGCAACACATTTAAGCTAATTATATATATATATATATATATATATATATATATAATAACAATTTAATAAACAAATCATAATCTCACATTAATTATAATTGATAACATATCATACATACACATTTACGGTATAGTTTCATCAATTATAAACAATAACATTTTTATCAATGTCATCTTTAAAAACATTTTCTTTAAGAAAACTCAATACAAATTTAAATTTATATTATATATATAACTATTAATAAAAAGAATTACGTTTTTAATTATTTAGTAACTACATATTTTACTACTAAATTTATCTTTAGTAATATAAATTATTTTATTCTTTTCTCTTTTAAGTTTTATCATTATTTTTTAAAAATCCAATTAATCTATTTTTAATAAAAATACATGAATACTAAAATCATAAAAAAACTATTTATTTTACAATTAATCTTCATAACTATATTTTTGAAAATTTAATAACATTTTTTTAATTTTAATAAAAATTACTCATTTTTTATAGGAGATTTCCACTAGTATTTATAAAAATAATATTGCTATAAGACATAATATTGATTTTTTTAATTTTTAATAACGGTTTCGGTAGATATTTTTGTGGGATCGAGACACGTGACTTTAGTGCTCCCGGATGACTTTGTCGCTAACCCTCGCTCTTTTGCAAAGTAGACCAAAGGCTCGCTCTCCCGCAATATAGATCACACGTTCATCTTTCTTGTGTTCGAATGCTTGAATCGTCTGCCTTCCTTCTGCCTGGATTGCTTGGTCTTTCGTGTGGAACGCTCGGTCACCTTCAATCTCCTGCCGCCGACCGATCAGTCTCTTTCTTGACGAGGGGATGTACTTGCAAAAGGCACTCCGACGCTCAAGTTAGGCGTGTGATTTGAAGAGTCTCGGCTCTTGATTGAATATTTAGTGAATGATTATCACTATTGAGTATTTAGAAGTGTGAGTCAAACGTGAATGGAACGTACCTGGCTTTTGGCTCTGTCATTCTATTTATAAATGCTTCATATAGATGAAATAATAACAAACTTACCTGATGATTCGGTTGGTCATTGATAAATAGCTTATCAATATCTTTAATTAGATATTCTTGATTATTTTATCATCTGCTGGACTATTGGTCCAATAACTTAAACGCTGGCCCAATTGCAGTCCAATCTTTAAATGCTGGTCCAATTGCAACCCAATCTTTGACCTGATTGACTGTAACAGATGAACCGGACAATCTTGAGTACATGGATCGAACGGTGTTGAATGTTAATCGTTCGGTCTCCACTAAATACGATACAATAACAATAACTCATTTTTTTCTCTTTTTATAGGAGATTTACACTAGTATTTATAAAAACAATATTTCTATAAGACATAATATTGATTTTTAAAATTTTTTAATAACAATAACTATTTTTTCTCTTTTTATAGGAGATTTACACTAGTATATATAAAAATAATATTGCTATATGACATAATATTGTGTGTGTCGTGTGGATGTGTGAAATTATTGACGTAAGTACGTAAGAAATTACAATGATATAACAAATTTTAAATAAAAAACTTAAAAAAAAAATAAGAAGATTATGTTCTCTGAGCGTATCTAAAATTAGGGCAACCTCGAAGCCTGAAAGCTGTTCCATATAAAAAGCTCCTAATCGCCTCTAGTTTCTGTCCGTCTTCCATTCGTGCTGAAGCTGAAAGTAAAGGCGAAGGCAAGACGTGTTACTCTGTTTCTGGTATTATTCAACTCTTTCTCTCACTTTCTCTTTAACGCATTTACTTTCTTCAATTAAGTTTAAGTTACAGCAATTTTTAATCAACCCTTCATTACCCTGTTTTTATTTTCTTTGAATTTGGGTGATTTGGTGACTTGAATTGATTTCACTTAACTTGTTCTGAATTGAAATTAGGGTTGTGAACAATTAGTTTCAGTAATGTATGTATCAGGAGTGTGTTGGTAAATGGTGAGAGCATGACAGGAACTAATTTTTAGTCAAGATTATATATACGGTCCTTCATTTTTTTTTTCAGTTTTTGGATTTTTGGTATGCAGATATTGTGGCTGCTAGCTCAGCTAGTGAGAATTAAAGGGGGCTAGAGAGAGAGAGAGAAAAGTGTTTCAGTTGTTATCTCATGCTTATTGTAATGAAAATTGGGAGATTGGTGGTGTTTTATCTCCATTTAGGTTTATGGTCATGCAGCTTTCAAGTTTTTTACCCTTGCGACGTTAATGAATATTGGTTTGGGTTGAGGTGACAGTTGTTCGTATTAGGAATTCGAAAAATATGTTCACTCTGATATTACCTTTTAGCTCACTAAGTGAGAATTAATGAATAGAGGGAGTGGAGAACTGGAAAACTATTAGTTGTTGACACCTTCTTTTGTCTGGGTCTTCCTTACTGAAATTGAATTTGGTGGTTTTTTATTTCTACTTTTAAAATTATTGGAAGTCTTTTTAATTTCTTTTACCGTAATCTTGTGAATACGGGTTGGTTGTCACTTGCCTTCTAATAGGATTTAGGGAACATTTTTCGCTGTGATTTTTACTTTTGTTTACTAAGCTAAGGTTCTGATAGTGGTCTTTATGTGGTGAAACAGATTGAACATAATGTACACATCGAGGAAGAAAATTCACAAGGATAAGGATGCAGAGCCCACTGAACTTGAAGAGACAGTTGCACAGGTTATTGCCCTTTTCCTGTTTCGTTAGAATGGTTTATTTCACGAATTCATGATTATTATTTATATTGAAACCGTGGTATTTGATGACTGTGCAGTACTTATTTGACTTGGAGAATACCAACCAGGATCTGAAAAGTGACTTGAAGGATCTCTATATTAATCAAGCAATGTAAGGATGTTGCAAATAATCAATTGATGTATTCTTGGTTATAGAAGTTTTTCTCGGCAGAATGACATATTTTTCTCCTGCAGTCAAATGGATGTGGCCAATAATCGCAAGGCTGTAGTCATCTATGTGCCTTTCAGATTGAGAAAAGCATTCCACAAGATTCATCTCCGACTTGTGAGGGAGTTGGAGAAGAAATTTAGCGGGAAGGTTGTATTTTACTTCAATATATCTTGATACAAACAAATTTGTCTTTGATTTTCTTTTCTATTTCCCCCCTTATGTACGTATTTGCCATATCACTTCTTGGTTATAGTGAGTTCAAGGAACACTAAATTGTATTATTAACTGAAGAATGTATATCAAATGGCAGGATGTTATTATGATTGCCACAAGGAGGATCGTGCGGCCACCAAAGAAGGGCTCTGCCGTTCAGCGTCCCAGGACCCGGACATTGACTGCAGTTCATGATGCCATGCTAGAGGATGTTGTATATCCTGCAGAGATTGTTGGAAAAAGGGCCAGATATAGAATTGATGGCTCAAAAATAGTGAAGGTAATTGCTTGTGAAGTTTTCATTAATTTGAATTTATCTTGTCATTTCCCATGTAACTTATAAATTGTTTCTTTTTGACAATTTTTATATTGAAGGTTTTCTTGGATCCCAAGGAGCGCAATAACACCGAGTACAAGCTGGAGACTTTTTCTGGAGTTTACAGGAAGCTTACTGGAAAAGATGTAGTATTTGATTATCCAGGCACAGAAGCCTGATAAGCTTCTGGGTTTAAAGGAGGATAGTTTTTTTTTTTTTTCAGTTTTTGTTAGAACCACACATTGTTAAACAATATCCAAAATTTTGACTTCTGGAACTTTTTATTTGCTGCTTCTTTTACTTGATGACATTAAAATTACTAAGGAGTACTTCCTGTTCCCAAATCACCATTTTTTTTCTTTAATAATAGGAATGTAAAAATGTGATGCAAGTATTTTGGATTTACTATTCTAGGGAAGATTTATGATTTTTACATTTAGGAATGGGTGTGGAAGGTATTTTCAAGTTTGGAATTGACGTTGGAAACACATTTCAAAAATGTTTTTTTATATTCTGAAACAATTATTCTAGAAGGTATTTTCAAATCTGAAAATACATTCCAGACTAAAATACATTCTGGAACACAAAAGTTTTCAAAATCAGGGTTCTGGAAGTCATTTCTAGATTTGAAAATCTATTCTGAATCACTTGCTTCGGAAATTTTTTTATGGGATGTTCCGAAATAGAAAAATTCCTACAACATTTGTACCTAAAGTTATTTCAAGATTCGGAAATATGAGAAAACACTTGTTATGGAAATTTTTTCTTATGTTTTGGATGAATATTTTGAAAGGTATTTTCTAGATTTGGAAATACCTTATGAAACATCCAAAGTAAGAATATGTAGGGATGTTTACTATATTTTTAATGAAGGATAATTTGGAGACTTTAGTTAAGAAATGAATTTTAAGTCTAGCTTTACAAAATCGGTTTGTAAAGTGAGGTTTGCACCTATTTATATATTATAAATTGGTTTTATTTTTAGTTCACGTGGAACTTCTAACATTTCGTCTCATCTCGAGGTATAGACATTATCTTGAATGTGAGACTAGAGATTAATACGTGATCCGATAACGGTCTGATAGCATGTGGAATAATATGCTCAATATATTGCTAAGATATGTTCTAACTTTGTTCAATGGACTTTAGGCCTTACTGAACCTCACAAAATCGGCTTGTAAGATGAGGTTTGCACTTACTTATATATATATATGGTATGTTTACCTTAAACATTCAATAAAATCACAACAAAATTAAACAAGCATATTCAAATCATAATCACAACCTATGACAAAATAAGCAAAATACAAGACTATGACAAAACAAAATTGGATTTCGAAATTAAAGACTCAACAATGGAATTGCACTGATTAAATGATGAAATAATGGACTCAAAGTAGTAAAACACTGACTCACACATACAAAACCTATTGAATTAGAACAAAATTCAATGGAACAGTGCAAAACAGAACAAAACATAAAAGGATTCATCTAAACAGCACATAAATAGGAAAGCACTTAGCTCACTACTAGACTTGAATCGTGGCTTTGAATACCACATGATGACTTGCTTTGAGGGGGCTAGAAAGTCCATCCTTCACGGTACGAAGAGCCATACAATAACTCTTTGAAATGGATGCACAAGGTACAACGAAATATGAAGGTGTGTGATGTGTATGATTGATTTATGGTGAATGTGTGGTGAAATCTAGCTCAGAAGGTCTACCAACTAAGGAAGGAAGCTAGACGGGAAGGAGAAGAATTTATATTCAAAGTGACTTTCAAGCAAGGAGGTGTTGAAGTCATCTCAACAATGTATCACCTAATTGCATTCAAAAGTGATTCACAAAGGGGTGGGGTACGAAATTTATAGGTGATTCAACACCCCTACATGAGGCCCTGCTAATCATCAACCACCATTCACAAATCAAGTGACATGTAATTGACATGTGATTCAAGTGTTAACTTCAAAGAAATGCACAAAATACACATGCTCAAAATTATGTAATCTACAAACTATTGTTGAGTGCAAGGCAGTGGTTGTTATATGCCGAATGACTTCCAAGTTAAGGACACTTCCATTCTTCATGGGCTTGAATAGGCTACCTTTGGTTCATTAGCAACAACAATAACCAACCATAGCAGTCCTTGATTCAACAAATATTTTGTTCCACCAACAACAAGTAGTCATCAATTTTGTTACAACTCGAATTGCTTACATGCAACAATAACTAGCAGCCACTCATATGGCTCAAATTACCCTACACTAGGAGATTACATTCTTTTCCTTGAGATTTCTGAGCTGTCAATCTGATTTTGTTGTTCTTTCCTCTACATATGCGTAAACTGTTTTGTGCTTACAATTAGGACACGCTTAGTGGTCTAATTGGTGTTTAATCTTCGCTTAGTTGATTAACCTGTGTTCTGTAGAATTGATTAGATATATTCATTGTGTTTGCTTAATTCGTAATTTTGAAGATCAGATTAACCTTCGCTTAATTGGTTAATTCGTGTTGGATTAGGGTGAGAAGAACGTGTAATTTGTTGTTAATCAAGGATGTAAAACATTGCAATTAAACTAGTGACCAACCGTTTTTAATCATTGTTTAATTTAAGGTATTTTCTATGTTTAATTGAATTGGTGAAACTATTCAACCCCTCCTCCACTACGTTTGACTGAACCAAAAATTGGTCACTGAGAGACGACCTAGGAGTCATTCCTTATCATACTGCATTTTAATTGCAACATCAGTTTGAGTCGATCGCGACATTGACGATCACCAAGAGTGGGTGAAACTCAACTAGATCGTGTATTAGGAAGATACTGAGTGTCTAGGGTACTAGGAGTGATGAAGAATACTATGTAACCAAGAGTAGATAAAACTCAATACTAGTTAGAGTAATGGTGGTTACTTGACTAGCGAAACCAGGAGTAGTGAGAATACTCAGTTGTAATCTTGTTGAAGATTATAGTGGAACTCTCTAAAGTGTTAGAGGAGACTAGACGTAACTCGATACAGTGAACCAATATAAAAACAATTGTGTGTTTATTGCTTTATTCTTTCTAAACACTTTACTTACAAGTTTTGCAGTTGCACATTACTTTAACCACTATAAAAGCTCTTATTACTAAACATCTTTTATTAAAGAGCTAGTTTTATCAAAACACTGCAATAAACATATTTAAACGATTGAAAAACATTTGCTAAAAAGAACTTATAGTTTAAACTAGTTTTCAATGTTAAGCGTTTAACAACTTACGTAAGCTTTTCAATCATCAACAAAATTGTTAAATTATCTCCTTCACAAAAATTTTTCCTATAACACTATTCAACTTCTCATTCTAGTGTTTCTTCAGGTACTTCATTTGTTATCTCTCAATCACGTGAAAAGTAATTATTTTTACATCGTAGTTAATTAACGAGGTTTTTTAATCTGTATGCATATTGATCAAATGAGTATAAAGATTTTTAATTTTGATTGAATTTAGAAACTTTTATGTGATTGAATGAGTTTTTTCTACCAATTGAGAATGTATTTGGATTAGTGGTAAAAACTTTAACAATAATTAATCAAGGTTGATATGCTGTCATTGACACTATCAAATTACTATTACTTTGATTAATAGGATTTAATTGAGAATGTTTTTTGGTTGAATTTATTATGAATAATCTAGAAATGTCTTGCTTTTAATTGAGAATCTACTTTGGTTAATAAGAAGATTGTCATCAAATTAATTAAGAATGTACTTTAATATATTTGAAATCAAAAGTAATAATCAATTGAATAATAATATGTGGCTAATCGATGATGAATATATTATGGAAAACCAATGGAATTAGCCTATTTAGTATAATTGCTTTAAATTCTTTTACTTCTAATTTCATGAAATTCACATTTAAACAATCGTACATATTAATTTCATTAGGATATATTTTACTTTTATCTTTTAGTATTTACATTTTGTTCTAGTAACCTTTTGAGTAGGATTTCATAAGAATAAATTATTGAAAAGCAATTTCGTATTCGTTGTGAAACGACTCAGGGCTAAAATCATATGTAGTTTGTTAATGACTAACTTGACAATATTGAAGGTGTCTTGTTAAGTAATAGTAATTGATAGCGTCAATGACAGCGTATCACTCTAACAACTTTGAACTCTCTTGTATTCGGTATTATCTTTCATTTATGTATCTTTGCTTTTGATGTAAAGTTTGTTAATTGATTTATGCTTAACATTGGATGAATTGATCACTTATCTTACTTTACTAGCTTAAGATTAAGTGTGAACTAGTTGTAAGTTGTGGTTCAATCAGATTTATTGTGGACTTTTAAATGCTAGGAATAAATCTAGGGTGTGCAACTAGAGAAAGAGTCTTGATCTTAATGCAGGTGACATGTTCAAGCAATCACTGAGGAATCATGCTAAAGGGTGACGATCATAGGCTCTAGGTGCCAAGGATGGACCTAGAGTAACACCTAAGCGAACTCCTAGGACTTAATCATTTGTAGCTCCATATTTAGGGTGGACCTGATTCAAGAGAGGTAGAAGTTGTGAAGTTGAACTCTAACACAATTTCCATAAATATGTTTTTCAATACAACTTAAATGAAGATCAAGATAGTTAAAACATTGTATTTTCTGCCAAATCTCTATGGATACAACACTTGTTATACTACAACAACTCATTACACTTGCTGGTATATTTTGGGTGTTGCACAATCACACCAACATTCTTTCCGTGAGATCCAATTTCTGTAGAATTTTTTGAATTGGTTAGTCGGTTTTAGCCACAATATAACATCCCTTTCACGAGTCATGTGTAGTTTATAAAACATTTATTAACTTCAAAAATCATTAACTCTGATACATTCGCAAAATAATGAATTAATAAAAACTTTATTTAATTATCGCGAACTAAAACAAACCAAGTGAAAATCACATTACTCTTAATTCAAAACCATAAGATAATACTTCAAAAACATTACATTAAAATAAAACATTGTCTTAAACGTATTTTGAAAATCCCCCAAGATATTCTCACGTGTCTCCTCGTTCTAAGCAGCAACAACATTATTTATAATATCATACGCTTCTGCATAACAATATAAGTTATACAATCATCGTACAACACAAACAAACAAGCAAGGGTGAACTAACATAACAACATTAGATAATATACAACAATCATACTCACTCATTCTACTAAAAATATCTATTACAAGCAATGAGTTCACACTACAATCGTCCCACAAGATCCACATCACCTCCAAGTGATACCAAACCAAATGTCATTCTCCTATACCCTACCGTACACAACCTGTTTTTCAAAATAGGGTAGCTCGAGCTATCATATTGTCACAACAAGGACCTATCTCCCCAACTTTTCAAGGAATTATGAGTAAAAATTCGATGCATCACATACTGAGCACTATACTCAACAATGAACTAAAAATCTACGGGTAAAACATCATTCCCTTCTCCACTACTTCACACATGCAAAAAGGTGTAACACTTGAACCTCTCCTCTTCCATTGCCTCACATAGGTGAAAAGGACCATTTTCACAAACATGAAAGAAACAAACCCCAACTTTATAAGATACGACAAGAAGACATAACAACGAACAACAGAGAAACATCACTCAACCACAAACACCATAACCAACATCCAACGTTACAACCATGTTCCAATACAACACAACAACAATCACAACAACTCGGTTAGACACCTTCATAGCCCGACAAACATGCAACTAGCTCAGCCAACACACAAATAGCTTGAAAATAATAAAAATACAATTCAACACTCATAAAAACAACTCAATAAAGAAAGAAATAACTCGACAACCATAAGCAACAACTCGACCAGGGTAAAAAACCCTAGGCCGACCTCTAGAACAACAAAATCGAGTTCCAAAACCTCCAAATCATGGTCTCAAAACAACTCGGTCACCCGACCAATATAGCCCAGCCCGCCCAACCAACCCAGCTCGACCTAACACCCTGACTACTTAGCCCAACCAACCAACTCGATTACCCAGCCCAACCTAACATTACCCTAGTCCGAAAACACCACAAAATAGCTCAGATTCAACACTTAACACACAAACAACATGACTTAGCAACTTAACCAACATATATTACCATTAAACAATTAGGATTGAAACTTAAGCATACTAAAAATAGCTTGTCACACTACAATACATGTATTTAACATATTAGATTCAACTTAAGGCACTAAATGCAACTTTAAGACACATATCAACATTGTTCTAGTACCTAAAACACAGTTCCAAGCCTAAAAAATACGAATTCAAACTTACCAACAAGAAATAAACCTTAAACATCATGAGTCAAGCTTAACGGATCGACTGTCATCCCAAAGCCATAAAACAAACCATAACGTTCAAACACTGCACAGATAAGTTCTTATTACAAAACAAAGCTTTAGTCACCAAAAGTGTCACAACACTATGCCTATGACACTATAACAACACTTCTGCACCACTGAAACAATCACGACCAAACCCAAAAATTATCAATCATTAGCATATACTCATCAAAACCAAAATCCATGCATTAAACCATCAAAACATGACCATTGCTAGATCAAAATTCGACAGAAATCAACATTCACTAAACCAAATTACAACCAACATATTCCCCTCAACCATAGTATTACCCACTAACCACATGAGGACACATATAAACATAACACTTGCTTTAAAACATTCATTACACAAAATGAAGGTTCAAGAAGAACAAGCACTTTGAACCAAACAAGAAGATATATAACACATATTTAATCGATAAAACAACATCAAGACATGTAAAGGATGTGATAAACAACTTAGAAATAAAAAGTAGAAGGGAGAAGAATAAATTATCTTTAGTATGAGCAACCTAGCCCTGATACCAAATGATGAGATAATGTAGAATGGAGAAAAAGATAATGTAGTGTTTGTTTTGACTAGTGTGCGTTTTCTAGGGAGAGGTGAGACCAACTCGTAAGGAAGGAAGCTTAAAGTAGTATCAAAGAAAGAATTAGTCTAGGGAGATCTAAAACAAGTTAATGTCACTCAATTTGGACAATATTTCTTTACTAAACTTAAGTTGAATTTACAAGAGCTAGAGACATTTATTTATAGGCTAAGAAACCCTAAAAGTGGTCTCCATAAAGTATAGTCAAAAACAATTCAAACCAATATAGAAATTTGAATTTTGGAGCCAAAAGAGAGCATGAGTATAGTGTGACTTGCCACCTAAGCAACTCACATGTTCCTTGCCATGGTGCGCTCAAGGAGGAGTCTTGCACTCCACGCCTTCTAGGTTTAAGAAACCCTAGTTTCATGCATTTCACATCAAGCCCAAAAACTAGGTCTATCTCCTTTAGGATCAAACTAGACTATTAGACTCAAGTTTAAACTATGACCTAAATATAGGGTCCAAATAATAAAAACTATACTTCAAAATATTTTATTCTAATATTTACAAAAGAATCTTAAACTAGGTTTTCACGTCTTTCTTAACTTATCTAAACATCATCTTGAACTTAATTTAAATGAAATCTAATACTCTTATATCCTTTTTGTTATAGTTCGTGACGAGTCTTTTAATTAAGAGTTTTCGATCAAAATATAGAGATTAAATTATTAATTACTTTTTTATTTTATATTTGTATTGAATGTTTTATCTATTCAAATAATTAAGAAATTGTAAATATGACTTATTAATGATCTTATCTTTGTTTAATGTATAATTTCAAATAAATTGGATTGTTGGTGAAATATGCTAAAAGTAATCCTTTGTACTGAAAAATCAAATATAACTACAAACCAAACTATTTTCGGTTGATCCTATGCTAAAAATGTATAGAAATGCCGATTATAGTCGTTGAATACATATTAGTAATAGAAACATAATGATTGATGACACATAATACAAAGAAAGTGTGCATTCCAAGTTTATTGGAAACGAGTGAGAGTGATTCCATTTAAGTTACCAACAACAATGTGAGCCATATGGTTGATTCGCACTGGGTCAAATTTAGAACATTTAAACATGATAAATTGTATGAAGAATGAAAATACTCTTACATGTATAATTGTTAAATTTATTTATTTAGTCAAAAGATACTTTCTAATGTGTTATAATTTTATTTTATCGTTTTTTTTCTTCTAAATCCAATATGAATGGAGAAATGTTCTTTTCATTTCCTTATCTTTTTCAGACCGAAAGTTAGAAATCATCTAATTTATATACCTTCTTACTTTTTTTCTTCTTTTTGCTTTTTGAAACAGTGAACATGAATGGATTGGATGAGAGTGCATTATTATTATTATTTATTAAATTTATGAAATAAATTCTTATATTTAAATTCAAAAGAGAAAAAGAAGAGGGTAGTGGAGCTATCTGAAACGCGGGGAAGACAAGGGCATGGGTGATGAAACAAAGTAGAAAAAATTGAGAAAAAAGTTCGATCAATTTAGGGTTAGGGTTTGTCTACGCATCAAACACAGTCTCATAAATCCAACGCAGATTCCCCAAATTGGTGAAGCCACAAATCACTGCCTTGCTAGGTTTTCCCAATTCTTAAACTCTTTCCAATCAATTTTTCATTTTCTTCTCTACTTTCGGTATGCATCTGGGAATTTTCCAAATGGGGAACCTTTGTGAGCATGGGTGATTCAATATATATGTGAATAGTTGCTCTTTAAATGCCTTAACACTCTGTTTTGGGCCCCCAAATTTAAATTTTTCCTCTGGGGTATTGAAATTGTGCTATGCAGTGCCCTTGTGTGTTGGTTGTGTTGAGACACTTAAGGCATTTAATATTTTTAATTTTCTGTGTGTATTGGCTGTACTAATAGGTGATAAAGCATTTGTATTTGTGCATTTTGGTTGTGTTGGTAGGGGATACAACATTTGAATTTTCACATTATGTGTGCGTGGTATGTTTTTAGCTTCACAGGGATTAAGACACTCTAACCATGGTTTCAAACCTAGGGACAGAAAAAGGGGGTGGCGTTGGAACACTCAAACACAGTGGAAATGTTGGGGGAATAGTACATGAGTGGAAATGAGTAGATTGTCTTTCAGGCCTCGACCACTTGACATCCACAAGAAGCTCCCCATTGTCAAGTCCATCAAGGACTTTGAAGACGATGAGGCACCTGCTTCTACCCGGAATTCCCAATTGTTACGTGCTGTTCCTGAGGTTGAACATGAGGTATGGACTGTTCGTGGTTTTCTATCATTGCACCCGTTTTTCCAGAACTCTATTTATTAACTATTTGGTGTACGCCGCTCTGTTTAATTGTTTAACTCTATATTTATCAATTATTTGTATCAGTGTGCTAGTAGTTTCCAGCTACATGCTAGATGTACTTAGCGTCAAGGCAATGAGTGTTGCACTATATCTCATTAGCACTTCGCATTGTTCTAATAGAAAAGATGTTCACCATGTTAACGTCGGATATTCATATTTAATTTATTAAGTCATTATTATCTGATAAGTTAGTGTAAATATTTTGCAGGTTAGAAGCCTTGGTAGTTGAAATGTTAAATATTTAGGGACTAATCATGGATGTGGCTCCTCTATCAAAAACTGATTGTAGGAAAGGAACCATTTGATAATGTGTTTGTGGTTGAAATATTGTTGCTTTTATCAGTAATTTTTATTTCTTATTCTCAGGTACATCATCAAACCCCCAGCAAGAAATTGGCTGCGGAAATACCTACTCCTCAGTTTGTTATTGTGGATACATATGAAAGGGACTATTCTTGCACTTTCTCTCAACCAACTTCCTATTTGCGGGCAAGAGGAGGTGCTGCCACTTCTTAGATCATTTAGTTATATTAAAAAATAATTTTGGAAAGTTCTTTTGTAAATTCCAATTCTTGTACTGAAAGTTCTTTCATTTATTACAGCTCGGGCTGAGATTGGAGAGTTTGTTGAGTATGACTTAGATAACGAAGATGAGGATTGGCTTTACCATTTTAATAAAGAGAGGAAGATTTTGGCACCTGAAATGTAATCTTTTGTTCTTATTTCGGCTTTATTCTTTAATTTATTTATTTGTGGGTCGTAGTGGTTTGTTTCAGTTTAATGGTATTCATCTTTATAAGTTGTTTGTTGCACTGTAGAGTCTTAGACATTGAAGGATAGAATAGACAGAATAAAGGCAATTTAGGACAGAAGCAATGGCCAGACACCTTTGTCCTTTCTCTCCCTCAAAATCAGTATCACATGCTGTAGAAGACAATTTGAAAACGAAAATAGAGTACCTATTGTTGTGGACAAGCAAAATCAAAACTAGGGAAAACCAAAAGAGAGAAATAGATGCTGTAGAAATATACAAGCACTAAAATAGAGGTTACAGAAAGAACAAATACAAAAATGAGAGCTATTATCAAACAAGGGAGGTGTAGGAAATGCAGCCGCCAATCAGCCAAACAAGAGTAGCAAAACACAATGGGCAAAACAAAACTAGTGTATCCATCAAACAACAAAAGGACGCAACAGATCAATTACAGTCACCAAACAGCAGCATGAGTATCCTCCAAATGAGTTCAAAAGTAAAGTAGGGAGAGCCAAGCAAAACTAGAAATAGTAAGTTGACGTCTACTATTTCTTTAGAGGACAAATTAACAAACCAGCAAGAAGAGAGAGCAAAATGATGAAGCAAGAGGTAAATAGTGCTAGGTAAAGAGGTATAACCAACCAAAAGCCAATGGGAGAAAAAGGTGAGGAGATACATGGGGTTGATATGGCAAAAAAGACGAACTCCAAATTTTAAGGAGGTTAACAATGCTGTAGTTGTTGGAAGTCCCACGTCGACTAGAGATAAGGCCAATTCATAGTTTATAATTGGGTGCAAACCTCACCCTACAAGCCGGTTTTGTGGGGTTGAGTTAGGCTTAAAGTCCACTTCTAACATGGTATCAGAGCCATGGTTAAAGCCTATCCTAGCGAGTTCTAAGTGGGCATTTCTGTTCTTTTATTCCACCTGCTATCGGGCCGTTATTGGACCACCCAATTTCGACTATCACGCACGAGATGTCTATACTTCGGCGTGAAGGGGGTGTGTTGGAAGTCCCACATCGACTAGAGATAAGGCCAATTCATAGTTTATAATTGGGTGCAGACCTCACCCTACAAGCTGGTTTTGTGGGGTTGAATTAGGCTTAAAGTCCACTTCTAACAGTAGTGATGGCACATATTGAAGAGGATTGTACTACATTGATATTATGGAATTTTATGTATTGAAGGCTAGATTAGAGAGAAGAGAGAGTTGGTATAATATTGTATTAGGTGATGAAATATATTACAGTGTATTGATGTGCTTGATATGTTCATTAAACTTAGCTGCTAACTCATAGTTCTCTAATTAGGGAAACAAGTCATGATAAAATAAGGAAATATGGTAACTAATCCTAGGAGAAAATTAAGAAATAGGGAAGCTAAACCCAGATGATAAATTAAGTTATTCCAAGATATGATAAGATAATGTGTTGTGTTCCAATATATATTAAAGACCTCTTAAAATTAGGGCATCCTATTGATCATGGTTTATTTGAATTTGTTATCTACCATTTCTTTTGCAATGCATCGGTTATTTTTATTGTACATATAAGTAGATAAGCAGATATAGGGTTGGTTTGAAAGAGCATATTTACAACTTATGAAGGTATATTTTATGACATAACCACTGGCATTATTGTTTGTTAGAGTTCATGGAAATGACTCCTTATATGTCCATAAGCTGTTTTCTGCTTATTTCTGCAGGCTTTCTTGGATAACTTATGAAAACAACTTATAACTTAATACTTATATGAAAACAGTTTAGCCCATTTTGTTTATGGTTAAGACATTCAACATAATGATTTGTTTGTATTTAAATTTGTTTCTGTTTAATTTTGAGTTTGGCCTAACATTTCACCAACTTGAATGTCTTGTTTTACAGCCCACAAGTATTTTTTTCCTCTGTTTGGTTTGCTCGATTCTTATTCCATTGTGATTTTGGTTGTTTCACTTTTCGTCATCTTGTACTGTTAATATAAGATATGCTTCATATATGCCATACTTTTTCTTTCAATTTTCATTTAATTTATTTGGTGGATAGGTTTGAGAGTCTTCTTTTCAAGTTGGAGGTATTGGATCATAAAGCTCGTGAAAGAGCTGGACTTATAACACCTACTCTTGGTTCACCAATTCCTGTGCAACTACGGCTTGATACTGCTATTGAGGTAAAAAAAAAATTATTGTCTCTTCACCTGTTCATAATCCATCTTGAATAAGTTTTTTTTTTTGTGCCACACTTACTAAGAATAGGCAGTTGTCCCTCTGGTTCTTTAATGACTAGTCATTAATGTAGAAGCTAGGAAGTATGTTTTTTTATATTAATGGTCTTACATGCAAAATTGTACTGAGATATGAGATAATAGAGGTAATTCAAACTCTCTAAAATATATGGTTTCCTTTACTTTTCTCAAGTTTGAATCAGAGTGGTTCAATGCTTCTTTACTGGTCTATATGTCTTGTCCTGCAAAGTCTTTGCTGCTGTCATTGCCATCGTAGTTTTCTTCGATGACCACTGCATCTGGAGCATCTATCCAAGCTGGAGGCTGTATCTGCTCCATCTCCCGCCACACTCTCTCTGTTTGCCATTGCTAGGCACGAGAGGTTCAAGTGCTGCCTTCCTCTCTCATCAGAGTGACGTGGAGCCTCTTCCATAGGACTCACCAGACCTCCTTTTCTCCCTTCTGACTGTTGGTTCTTCATTTCCAGCATGGTTGGAAGTCAAATATGGGATGTCTTTATTGCTGTCTCCAGCACCTTCATTGTGGTGGGTGTGATGGGTGTCTTTAGCCCCACATAGTCCAATGACATGGCTGAACTAGTACTGTACGCCTTGGTCTATTTTTACCTTACAAGTTAGTTTTGTAAGGTTAAATTAGAGTCCAAGCCAAATTTTAATATCAGAGTATGTCCTATAGATCACTATTGGACCACTTGCTTTGTCCACACTTCAGCTCATAGCTGTTAGGATATTTATCCTATTTTATTATCATTATATTGTGTCAAGGTTACCCTATTTATCATAATTATATTGTGTTAAGGGTTACCCTATTTATCATGATTATATTGTGTCTAGGGTTACTCTATTTATCATGATTATATTGTGTCTAGGGTTACCTTATTTATCATGATTATATTTTGTCTAGGTTACCCTATTTATCATGTACTATTGTATCAATTTATTCTTATAAATAGAAGATTATGAGAGGGATCAATTAAGCCCTCTAGAATTATTTTACAATTTCAATCTCAAGTTGGTATCAGATCAGGTTGTCTGAGTCTCTTCCTACTCTGTCTTTGTTGTCGCTGGTGGCCAGTGCCGCCACCGGCGGCATTAAAAATTTCATCTTTTCTGAAGTACTTCAATGAGCAATCCCACTGTTGTCTGCCACCATCCATTGCCTCGGTATAGTTCGGCAACCAGTGGATCTTGATCGCCTCCTTGAGCGACGGCCAATCCTGCCGGTGCGAGGGCTAGTTCTCATCAGGCGCCGTCACGTGCGCCACATCTGTCCGACGTCTGCCGCCACCGTCACGTTTTCTTCGACAAAGTTAGTGGTTTTGTCACCTCAAGGAGCGTGACTCATCCTTGGTAGTCGCTGCCACATTCTCCTCCACACGCACTATCACGAACAACTTTTCTCCGATCAACTTCCCGCGCGTGGTTGTCACAAGTCACCTTCCCAATGTCAGAATCATATTGCGCCGCTGTCGTTCATCTCGCTAGACCAAAAGAAAAAAAATATTCTTTGTTTCAACATTGTTCCTTAGCCTCTTTCATAATGTGTGTTTAACTTTGCATATTGTAGCAGCTGTGATGTTCCTGATGGCTTGTGTCATTTATTTATAAGTCTCCAAGGAGAGTCAGTGCTATTAGTTGATTAACACCAAGGAATTTCAACACAACAAAGTCATAGGTTGAAGGTTCCTCATGGCATGAGGGGAGTCTATTTCTATCAAGATTCAGAATCTTAGTCAAACAATTTCACCAGTCCCTTGTTAGATTTGTTTTTGGATCCTTTGATGAATAAAGGAGCCCATTATGATCTTCCACCTTCACGATTTGTCATCGGCGCGTCGTCATTTCCGTCGTTTGTCGTGAAGGGGAGTATGTTTCCAGCCACTGCATGTCCCATTAGTCAGTGATGGCAGTCCCTGCAGTTTTGTCCTTTCAGCCACCGTAGGCCCCCATCACCTCGTCAATCAGTGATGGCAGTTACTGTAGTTTTGTCGCTTCCAGCCACTACAGGCCCCATCAAACAGTGATGGAATTTTAGTCCCTACAGTTTGTCGTCTACCATTGTTGGCTGTCATCCACTTTTAATGGAAATCTTATTTATCAAACTCATCCTTGTTGAAGTTTCGTGGTGTTAGTTGAAGTTCTGTGGTTGTCCACTAATGGCCAATATTATTCTCCATAAGCTGTTGTGAGTTGTTTGTTAATCTGTGTTTTTGTACTTTTGCTATTCATTGACCATTATCATCGGTTTGCTGCACACTCTTGAAGACGAGTCCTATATTTCAAGAAGAGTCTCTTTGGCTATGCTGGATTGTGAGTTCAATTTGGTTTATAGACATTCTCTCTCGATGGTCTGAAGCATATGTGTATCTTGTTCGAAGCCAAAGTTACCATGCCTATTGTCTCGACATTTTAGACAAGTTGATTTTGCTGGATTGAGTTTATTTATTCCAAGCTTGGTACATACAATTTGTATGCTCCAGCTTGAGGGGGAGTGTTAGGATATTTATCCTATTTTATCATCATTATATTGTGTCAAGGTTACCCTATTTATCATGATTATATTGTGTTAAGGGTTACCCTATTTATCATGATTATATTGTGTCTAGGGTTACTCTATTTATCCTGATTATATTGTGTCTAGGGTTACCCTATTTATCATGATTATATTTTGTCTAGGTTACCCTATTTATCTTGTACTCTTGTATCAATTTATTCTTATAAATAGAAGATTATGAGAGAGATCAATTAAGCCCTCTAGAATTATTTTACAATTTCAATCTCAAGTATAGCCATGGTCTGCCTTCATTATGCTGGGTGTGTTGGGGTATGTATGGTCTCATTGTCTGTGCAGTACTTGTACAGCTTGGACAGTTCTCACCTTATACATTAATTTTGTGGGATTGGTTTAGTCCTTAAGCTCACATGTTAGGAGGTTAGGAGTGTACGAGAAAAGAAAGAAACATTAATTGCCAACTGCCTTAGTAGTTAGGAAAGGTGGGAATAAGAATGTATAAATAGCAATTGTATAGTCTTTTAGAGGACTTTTGGTTAGTTGTTGTTTCTAACAGGAATATTTCAATCTTGTGGGGGAGGTTCAGCTCTCATTGGCTTTCTGTACATTGTTTCTTGTCCTTGTTAATACAAGAAAGGCTATTCTTTGTGTCTGGTGTGTGATCTGGATTGTGTGTGTGGCTGTCTATTGAGGTTTCTTGAGTAGAAACCTATCAATTTGGTTCGACCTGCCGGATTAAAATTAGGTTAGGGTGTTTTGAGGGAAGGATGGACGGCCGAATGAACGTTGTGGAGGGACAGTTGGAAGCGTTGGAGATAGCCGTGGACGGAATGAAGGCAGAATTAGCAGCAGTCCGCTAGGACCTGCACGAAATCATGATGATATTGGGGGCGCGAATCCGCAACAATAGGGGGCATTTCGATGGAAGTCAAGCTTCCGTCAACGAGAACCAGGGAAGGCGCGAGGAAGAAGATGGGGGAAGAGGAGGAGGTGATAATCAAGAAGGACCAACCCCTTGGAGGAAGAAGGTCGAATTACCCATTTTCGAGGGTCTGGATCCACTAAACTAGATTAATCGGGCAAAAAAATTTTTTGAGTTGCAGGGAGTGACGGAAGATGTAGAGAAAGTTCGTCTAGCATACATTAGCATGGAGGGTAGCGCGGGTTACTGGTTTAGATTTTGGAAAGAAAAGGCCAAGAACCGTTCTTGGGAGGGCCTAAAAGCAGCGATGTTCGAGAGGGTTGGAGGAAGAAATAGGGGGCCTTTTTGTGAGAGGTTGGCTGCCATAAAACAAGAAGGTACCGTGGAAGAGTACGTCCAAGAGTTCGAGATCTTGGTGGGTCAAACACGAGGAGTTTCAGAAGAACAAATGGCGGGGTATTTTCTCGCGGGATTGCGCGACACCATTAGGAATCAGGTGAGACCCCATGATCCCCAGGAGTTAACGATTTCCATGAAAATTGCGAGGGCTGTCGAGGAGGTTCCGGGTGGTGCGAGAGGGGGAAGCTGGAATATGACCAATAATTCGCAGTCTTGGGGGCGCGAGACGGGTACGGTGACTCGCGATGAGACCAGTCGCAGTAATCAAAATTGCATTGGTGGTGCGGAGAGTGTAGGATCAATAAGAGAGGGAAACCCTATGCATGCTAGCGCGAAAGCTAGTGGGGCAAGGGGAAGCGATAACAGAGGTCGGAATGTGCGAAGCCTTCCTTATCCAGAATTTCTGAAGCGCAAGGAAAGGGGCCGATGCTTTAGGTACGGGGGGCCTTTTAGCCCTGGCCACCGTTGTCCTGAGAGGAGTTTAAGGGTGGTTATTCTCGTGGAGGATGAAAAGGAGGAAGGCGTGGCAGACCAGGACCAGAAACCCATGGAATTGTCTGGGTTTTCAGCAGAGGGGCTAACTCGACCCAAAATGATGAAACTGGAGGGAAGGATTGGAGAGAGGAAGGTGTTAGTACTCATAGATAGTGGCGCAAGCCACAATGTTATTAGTAGGGAATTGGCAGAGGAGCTGAAGTTGCCCATGGAGGACACGCCACCCTATCAGGTGAGTCTGGGTGATGGACAAAGAAAAAAAGACTCGGGGGTGTTGCGAGAAGGTAGTAATTACCCTGGCAGAAACTGAAGTGGAGGAGAGGATCCATCTGTTTGAGCTGGGCGGTGTAGACATAATTTTGGGTGTGGAATGGTTAGCTAAGCTGGGGGAAGTGATGTTGAATTGGGGGAAGATGACCATGATGTTACAAACAAGGCGGAACGAAGGTGATTATTCGGGGGGATCCAACGTTGGCTAGGAGATTGGTGGAACCTAGGTCATTACTGAAGTTGACAGAGGTGGAGGCTTGGAATTTAGTATGGGACTTGGGCTTTAGTATGGGACTTGGGCCAGGTCGAAAGGGATGATGAGCCAGGGGAGTATCTAGGGCTGACAGGGGAACAAAAGGCATGAGCTAGAAGGGATTCTGGACATTCACTTCTAGGTTTTCCAGGAGATAAGGGGGTTGCCCCCAAACAGAGAAATAATGCATCAAATTCCCCTTAAGGAAGGGGTAGACCCAGTAAACGTGCGTCTATATAGATACCCACACCTTATGAAGGGAGAAATTGAGAAGCAAGTGGTAGAAATGTTGAGAGTGCGAATAATTAGACCAAGCACTAGTCCATACTCTAGCCTGATCATTTTGGTCAAGAAGAAGGATGGTAGTTGGTGTTTTTGTGTGGATTACAGGGCCTTAAACAAGGCAACCATACCAGATAAATTCCCAATCTCGGTGATAGAAGAGCTCTTGGATGAATTGAGAGGAGCTAAATACTTTTCCAAGATAGATTTAAAAGTAGGGTATCATCAAATTCGGATGGGAGAGGGGGATGTTCACAAAACAACCTTTAGGACTCACCAAGGCCACTATGAGTTCTTAGTGATGCCTTTTGGCCTCACTAACGTGCCAACAACTTTTCAGAGTGCAATGAACAACTTTTGCAGCAGTATCTCAGAAAGTTTGTGCTGGTTTTTTTTTTATGACAAATTGGTGTATAGCCCCACTTGGGAGGATCACTTGGAGCAAGTGAAGTTGGTGCTGCAGCGGCTGGAACAACATAAGTGGGTGGCTAACAGAAAGAAATGTGAATTTGGGAGAGATCAGATCAGGTATTTGGGCCACCAGATTTCAGAGAGGGGGTTGAGATGGATCAGGAGAAAATCAGGGCGGTTTTGGAGTGGGAGGAGCCAAGAACCTTGAAAGCTTTGAAAGGGTTTCTAGGCTTAATTGGTTACTATAGACGCTTTGTGAAGGATTATGGAAAGATTGCAAAACCCCTGATAGAATTGTTGAAGAAGGGGCAATTTGTTTGGAACGAGCAGGCCAAGGCTGCCATGGCACGATTGAAGGAGGCTATAACATCTGCCCCAGTACTCACACTACCCGATTTTGGCCAGACCTTTCACATAGAATGTGATGCTTCAGGAGGAGGAGTTGGGGCGATTTTGACACAGGGGAAGAAGCCCATTGAATTTTTATGTAAGGCCTCGTCTGAAGGATCCTTAAACAAGTCCATTTATGAGAAGGAATTAATGGCATTGGTCTTGGCTATCCAGCACTGGAGGCCATATCTATTGAGGCAGAAGTTTATCTTGCATACTGATAAGAGAAGTCTGTAATACTTGTTGGAGCAAAGGATAACCACCCAGAATCAACAAAATTGGATGGTAAAACTCCTGGGCTATGATTTTGAGATTTTATACAAAGCTGGAAACACTAACAGGGTGGCTGATGCCCTACCTTGTAGTGGAGAATGGGGTGAGGAGGAAAGAGAATTGAGAGTGGTTGCTAGACCCTACTGGCAGGACTTCCAAGAGGTATTAAAGGAGGTCGAGGAGGATGAGGTGCTGAAGAAGGTGATAGCAGATATTCAGAGGGACCCAAATGCTCATTCAACATACACCCTAGAACAGGATAGGTTGCATTAAAAAGGAAGACTGGTGCTATCTGCGAAATCGGTGTGGATACCCAAGCTTCTGGTTGAGTTCCAATCGACCAGCACGAGAGGCCACTATGGGGTGTACAAAATGTACAGAAAAGTAGCCCAATCTTTGTATTGGATAGGGATGAAAAGGTCAGTTACAGTCTTTGTGGCAAGTTGCTTGGTGTGCCAACAACACAAATATTTGACATCTTCTCCTCAAGGGCTATTACAACCACTGCCCATACCTCACGCAGTTTGGGAGGAAGTGAGTATGGACTTTATAGTGAAGCTGCCAAAATCCCAAGGTTATGATGCAGTTCTGGTAGTAGTTGATCGCCTAAGCAAATATGGCCATTTTTTGCCACTTAAGCATCCTTATTCAGCTCAGACGATAGCAGAGGTGTTTGTTAAGGAGGTAGTGAGGTTACATGGGATCCCAGTTTCAATTGTCAGTGATAGGGATCCCTTGTTCTTGAGCATTTTCTGGAAGGAGCTATTTAGGATGCAGGGATCCCATCTCAGGATGAGTACAACATATCATCCTAAGTCAGATGGCCAAACCGAGGTGCTAAACAAAATTTTGGAGGGGTATTTATGGTGTTTCTGCTCTGAGTAGCCAAAGAGTTGGAGTGCAATGCTATCTTGGGGGCTGAATACTGGTACAATACCAGTTATCAGGGTGCAGCTAGGTGCGCACCTTTTGAGACGGTTTATGGTAGGCATCCGCCTTCCTTGAGCAGATTCGTACCAGGAGAGTCACCAGTAGAAGCGGTTGCCCAAGAACTGCAAACAAGAGACGAAGCTCTTAAACAACTGAAGTTTCACTTGACTCGAGCTCAGGATTTAATGACCCAACAGGCGAATTAAAGGAGGCGACCAACATATATAAAGGTGGAGGATTGGATTTACTTGAAGATCAGACCTCATAGGCAATCTTCCATGCCATCAAGATTTCATCTGAAACTATCAGCTCGATACTTTGGTCCTTTTCAAGTGGTGCAACAGGTGGGAGAGGTGGCTTACAGGATCAGGTTACCAAAAACAGCTGGGATATACCCAGTCTTCCATGTATCCTAGCTTAAGAAGGCAGTGGGCGGAAAGAAGGTGGAGAAGGAGCTGCCGCCTGAGTTGCAAGCAGAAGGACCTACGTTTTGGCCAGTTAGAATCTTGGAAAGCAGGCAAGTGCAACAAGGAGAAGAGATGGTTCAACAAGTGTTGGTGGAATGACAAGAAGGAGGAAGAGAGGGAGCAACCTAGGAAGACAAGATTACTATCAAGGATCAATATCCCGATTTCAACCTTGAGGACAAGGTTGTTGAGGGGGCGAAGGGTAGTGTTAAGAGGTTAAGAGTGTACGAGAGAAGAAAGAAACATTAATTGCCTAACTGCCTTAGCAGTTAGGAAAGGCGGGAATAAGAATGTATAAATAGCAATTTTATAGTCTTTTAGAGGACTTTTGGTTAGTTGTTGTTTCTAATAGGAATTTTTCAATCCTGTGGGGGAGGTTAAGCTCTCATGGGCTCTCTGTACATTGTTTCTTGTCCTTGTTAATACAAGAAAGGCTATTCTTTGTGTCTGGTGTGTGATGTGGAGTGTGTGTGTGTGGCTGTCTATTGAGGTTTCTAAAGAAACCTATCACCACATTATAGGACTCTAAACCTGCCACTTTTTTCTACAACTCATCTAATTAAGGAGCATGAAAGTGGTAATGGTTTGATAATTTGTTGTAGGGGATTTAATCACTTTTCAAAAACTAACTCTTGTAAGCTTTTAAGTGGAGGACAAGTTGGCCTTATCGTTCAATTTTTAGCCTGTGTAGTGAAAGCGGACTGGATTCTTCTTGCTAGATGTTTATACAATGTTTTTCAAACCCAAAATCTCAATGCTCTTGAAAAGACAAATCATGGATATTTCCTGTTATTCAAGTGTTTTCCTTTCAAGGATCTCAGTGCTAAAACATAACATTTTATGTGAATGATGAAGGTGTTGATTTTAAGGTTAATACTATTTGTGGATTTGTACAGTTTCATGTTAGATGAAAACCACGACTGGATTTAGAAGTCTTTTTTAATCTTATGTGACATACATGATGCTGATGAATTATTGGTTTTCTTCAAAGATTTCCATATCTAGGTTATTATTTTCTATTAACTTTGTTATTGGTATGTAGGACCATCTTTCAAATATCAGAATGCTTTTGGTGACATTGTTCTGCAATGCAAATCTTATATTACTTTGCTTATGTCGTGTTATTGTGCTTAATAAGAGTTATGTTCTTTATTTGTTAGGCCTTACAAGCGCAGGGCTTCAAATATCCACTTATCCAGTCTGTATATGATTATTGGAAAGAGAAGGTATGGAATCAACATCATGTTATCATCACTTACATGAGGGGCATGCCTCTTTCTTTTATCTATATATAACTTTGTGAATTAGTTTCAATAATGATTTTCATTAGGAATATGGAATCTGTACTGTACCAGGTCTTCATACATTCTTTGTTGGGATGACAAACTGGGTGAAGTGGGTGTGGGCTTGATTATACCCATCCTTGTTCCTGAAATAAAATTTCACATCCATCCTTGTCCGCAATACTCGATGGGCATGAAATTTGTCTCATCACCATGCCTGTCGGATGTATTTGTACACGTGTCTGTACAACTCACATTTATTTTATAGTAAATACAAATCCAAGCAAAGAAAAATGATATTAAGAATTCAATGTCAAAAGACATACATATTCTTCTCTTCACTGCCAAATAAGAATGAAAATAATTATAATTGCATAAATTTCAAAATAAAGTACCAAATAGACTAGAAATGCCTTAGTAATTTTAAAATGAGCATTTGTGCGAGGATGGAACAAATATGTACATATTGATCCTCATCCTTGGCCCTGATTTGAAAAGTTGGGTATTACTCATACTCGTGTGGTTAATCCAACCTTTTCTTGTTAATATTGGAATAAGTTTGGAAAATACCCGTGTGTAAAATTTTATTTTCCATCTTTAATTCTTAGAGCATTTTCTAATACAGCTGGCAACAAAGAATATTCTGTTTTAAAACAGAATGAAAAATGCATATTTATGCTGTAATCCCACCCCCCTCAAACTCAAGGTGAATATTTTTCAGAAAACCCTTTCACATTGAGTTTGCTTTTTGGCTGGAGAGAGAGGCCCAGTCAGCACATCTGATCATTTGATCTCAAGCTGGAATGTGGTAAATCTGATGTTGTTTCCATAGAACTTTTTCTTGAATAAAAAGTAAATGAGTCTCTATGTGTTGAGTCCAACTGCAAAGAAGATTGTAAGCTATAGCTACTGCATTTTTAATATCACAGAGCCGAACATGAGTAAAGAAAGGAACTTGAAGTTCCTATAATAGAGCCTGAACCCCAGTCAACTCAGCTTAAGTCTATTCTGCAATGATCAGCCTTTGTGCCAGGTCTGGCAGTAACCTGTTGTTTCTTTGCTTGACCACCAAGTTATCAAGTTAGGATCCAAGTAGATGGCAGAACCAAGGTGGATCTTTTGACATAAATGTCAGAGGAGCAGTCAGCATCACACATAGCTGTGACCATTAGGTCTGCAAACAGCAGCTGGTGGCATGTGAAGATCATGAGAGAGAGTGCCCTTAAGATACGTTAGAATTCTTTTGATAGCTACTCGGAGAGTCTAAGGGTTTTCCATGAATTGGCAAATTTAGTTAACTTCAAAACCTACTTCAGGCCTTGTGACAGTAGTTACTGCAGGGCACCAACTACATATGTATAATGGGGTCGGATCCTGAAACAAGTTACCACCACTTTTAGAGAACTTGTAGGAGAGAAGAAATAGGTTGGTTGAGCTTCAACCGTTTTGGTCCTGTGTTATAGGTCTTTAATGTATTTTCTTTGAGTCGTAAAAGGAGACATGTTTGGTAGATGTTTGATCATAATGCCCAAAAAATAGTCCAAATAGTCCAACTGTTTGCGATGAGGTGAGCTGCCAATAATGATAATATCATCCACATAAACCAGGATGAAAATAGTGAGTTTGAGGCTTGTATTTGAACAGAGAGAATCACATTTACCAGATTGAAATCCAAACTGAATGAGGGTAAACTTGAGTCTTTCAAACCACAGCCTTGGTACCTGTTTAGGCCATAAAGTGCCTAGTTTAGCTTCCAAACAAGAGATCTGTCGCCAACTTCAAATCCTGGGGGCTGCATCATGTAGATTGTTTCTTTTAAGAAAATCATTAAGGAAAGAGTTATTCACATCCAAGTGAAATAACTGCCAATTATTAGCAAGTGCAAGGATGATGGTGAGCCTGATGGTAATAGGATTAATAACTGAAGAAAATGTTTCATTAAAATTAAAACCATGGGTTTGATACCAACCGAGCTTTTTATTTGTTTGTGGACCCATTTGCATTTTCTTTAACCCAAAATACCCCTTTACACCACCCTCATGTTGTTCTATCAGAATGCCAGGGAGTTATGAATGGGAAATAGAGAAGGTTGAAGTCTGGATTATGAAATCCAGACTTGGACCTGGTTTGCATGGGATGATTATTACAGTTCTGGGATCAGTTTCAGTGTGTGCAAGAGTGGGTGAAGAGCTAGACTACGTTTGTGATTGGGTGACTCAGGTGAAGGAATATTTTGAGCACTATGAAGTTTTCAGAGGAACGGACAAGCTGCTGTGAGGGTGTAGACAGAACTTTGAGGTGTGTGGTTTGGAGAAGACAGGAAGATTTAAAGACATGTTAGACATACAGGTCTTGGTTAAAGGTGAAGTATAGAGAGGGAGGTAGCATTAGTGGGACCTTTCTGGAAAATTTCAGAGTACGGCCTATTCCATAACCATTGCCACAATGACCACCGTTGTTGTCACCTCAATCTCCGTACATGGCTACTGCTACCACAAGCATCATTCACCATTATAGCCGCCAAAATGTTCAACATGACTATAATTGGACAAGTTAGGTAACCTTGAGAGTAGTTGACATAGGAAGATAAGGATTGTTTTTGAAACCTATTGTTCTGAGATTCATGCACAAGAAGAGCCTCAAGTTGTTGGACCAGTCTTGAATATGCTTTCAATGACTGAAACTAATGGTGCATACTCTTGAGGTAATCCTTCCAGGTGCAAAAGAAAGGGAATAATTGAAGAAGATACCTTGGTGGTTGCCTCCAGGAAGTGGTGCGACAAGATTGTCAGAATTGATCAGAACAAAATGGTAACATAAAAGGTTGTAAAAACTCTAGTTGGGCTTTATAATGTTGTTTAAAAAATGACCTGTTTGCCATGGCCATGTGGCAATAGCAATAGCAGAAAATGGTGGATGACACCGAAAATGGCCATGTAATGCATTTAAAATGGCATAAGGAATCTAAACTGTCTTGCTATTCTGCCACGATGGCATCACACTGCCATTTGACAAAAGTTATATCCACTTATCCACAACCTTTTTATATCAATAACCCTAAGCATATACCTGTTTGCTCTTTTCTACCCAATATTCTGTACAATGATGGATTGGATCTTTTTGTCCTTAAGAAAATTTTCCTTTGCGTTTAAATTTCACCTTTGAAAAAGAAAAAGAACACTTGAAAATGTCTCCATTTTATCCACCTAGCTTGAACCATTTGATTTATGTCTATTCCTATGTTTCTTTATATGATAGATCCAAAGTGCCTAAGTTGTGCTACAAAGTATATGATGGCACTGTGTATTCATGCTATCTAAATTATAGTTGGTAATTTTTTATTTGCTTTTATTAGTTAGTATATGACAAAAATATCTTTTCCCTTGTTTGTATGCTTTTTGTGGCAGCGAGAACGATGGCAAAAGCCTGTTTTGCGACGTTTGCAGGTTAGACTTTAGAACATTATAATTAATATATTATTTTCCTGTTATATTAGTCTGTAGTTTGCTGCTAACTATTGTACTTGATGTTTTTTGTTTTTATTTGTTTTGCCCACGGGGGAGGTGTAGTGGGCCTATATCTCTTCTTGTTTACCTAAAATAGTATGCTGGGTAAGCCCATTATGGTGAATTTTGACAAGATGAACTGCATTTTTCATACAGCCACCTCCACCAGTTAACGACACCAACCCATATAATGTCTTTCGGCCAAGGGAGAAGGCCCACAGGCTTCACACAAGAAGGGTAGGTGGAAAACTTGGCAAATGTTTTCATTGTACATCATTGTTGGGTAAATGCTTTTCCCTGAAAGGCATGAGTTTATTTAAGACTTCAAAGGGTTTTAGGTTGACTTAATCCCGTACATTTTTCTTTTCAGATGCAAAGAAGGGAGAACAATGTGCAGTCATTTGAAAAGCTTCGCCAGGTCAGCTCTTCAAATTTGATTATGATACTTCGGCTTCTGTTAAAGTTAGTAAAATTGAACTCGGATCTACTCTTTTTTAGCCGGTCTGGTTAAGTGTGAGATAATGATTTTATGAACTTGTGGTTTACCCTTCCTCTATGAATTATTATTTCAAAGAAAGGGAGTCTTAAAAGGTTTTAAAGGATTATTAGAGGTTTCTTTCCCCTAATTATTATTTCAGAGAATGTTGAGTTTCTTGAAAGACTTGTGACCTGTGTTCCATGTGGTTCTAATCAAGTTTCTCCTGATGATTATACAGAAATCTGAATTCTTTGTAGAATATAATCGTGTATATACGTTGAGTGAAAGTAATATTTCCTCACTTGAAAGTTTAGTAGAATCATCTTTGCATTGTCATGATCTTTAATCTTTTTACTGTATCTCTCTCATTCACTGTTAAGAGCTCAACTTTTGAGAAAAGAATGTTGTAAAAGTAATCACTCTGAAACCCATCAGTTTTTGTGGTTGTAGGAGGATTGTTGTCATTGTAGTACAACAAATTAATAAGATGGTGGGGGCTTGGAACGGTCTTGATTTGACCAGAGAAAAGGAACCTATTTAAGTGATATGTATCCATTAATTTAGTGTGTGGCTTTGTTTGCTTGATATTGTTTGAAAGGCAACATAGTGTTTGGTAAACAAAATTTCTCATCTAACTGAACTGTCATTATCATGAATTTTCTTTTGATGACGTACTTTAATGAAAAATCCATTTAGTGGATAAGACAACTTGCAGCTAGATTAATGAGATTTTGAGTAATCTGGTGTTGAAGTAGTTTCTAATTCACTTGATAAAGAAACATAATTTAGAAATTGAGGCACAAGTTTTAGCTTATGGTTTCTGTTGGAAATCATGCATCAATAACTAAACTATAATATGTAAAGATACAAACCTCAACTTGAAGCTAGTTTTATAAGATAGAGTTAGGCTTAAATTCTACTTTCACATATAGCATCTGAGCTATCCTAGTAAGGTTTATGGAGTCTATCACGTCATCTATCCTAGTAAGGTTTATGGAGTGTATCATGTCATCTGCTATAAGACCGTCCATAAATATCTATTTCTATGCTCAAGACGTCTTGTCTTAGATATGAAGGGGTGGATGGAAGATCTCAAATCAACTAGAGATTTAACTAAATTATGATATAAAAGTGGGTGCATCTTTTGAAGCTAATTTTGTAAAGTCAAGTTAAGCCTAGGACCTACTTTCAACCTGTTGTTTATACAATATCGCTGCTATTCTTTATATAATTGTCAGTTATAATTAAAAATGATTTGATTTTAGTTCATTTCATTCTTTTTTAGATATTTTGATGTAAAAAATGTTAATAATTCATATTGTCTTTCTGAAGTAATCGATGGCTAAGGAGACAGTTTTTCTTTCTTTTTTTATTTTTCGGATTAGAGTGTTTCTTATGCAATGTATAGTACTTGAAAACATATTTGAAGCTTTGACTGCAAACAGGTCAGGCGCAACCTTGACCAAGCTAAGAGCTTGTTGGAAGCTTTGATCAAGGTGTGACTTCCAAGTTATTTTTGAGTGTTATACCATATTTCTATCATTTTTTTTTTCAATCTTATTGTGTTGAATACAATCATGACCAGAGGGAGGAGAAAAAAAGAGAAGTAATGGAGAGTGAAGTTACATTGCAGAGGATGCAAATGAAGTACAAGGTATGGATGTTCTTTTGAATGTTTATTGTCTTCAATCTGCTGACAATTTAGAGCTGATCATTATTAGTGTTAATTCCCCTTTTTGGATGGAATTGGACTGGATTGATTTTTCTTTGGTTGAGTTAGAATACAAAACCTTTTTGTATATATTGAGACCTATTGAACATAGTGAAAAACGATAGGAATTTATTTACTCTTGTTTTTTTGGCTATCTGAATTAAGTATAGTTTCTGCTAATCAGAGTTGTAATTAGCAAACTCCATGTTCTAGTTCTTAGTGGTTGACTGAGAAGGCTGAAAAAAGGAAAAAAACGTAAGAATTTGTATATAACTATGCAATTTGATGCACCTTGCTGGATCAATTTTATAATTTATTAGCGCTGTGTACTTTGAATATTGTTTCTTTGGCTTGTCATAGAATGCATTGTGAGGTAGATTGTTTGTACCTATGATCCAATGTGTGGGTTTCTATTTCAGCATGAAACTGAATTTTTGGAAGACAACTTGGCATTCTCTGGCTTTACTGCTTTCTCTTCCAAGTTTGTTTCAAGTGAAGAAGAATATTTCGATTCTGATGATGTCATGACAAACCGCCTTCCTCGAACACGTTCTACTGCAGTACAGAGTTTGCCTTCCCATGACACCAACCTGCCCATGGTTACTACAGCTAGCACAAAGCAAGAGTTTAGGAGGAGATATGTCCCGCATGGATGGCCTCATAAACTGGTATTTATTTCATTATCTAACTACCCATCTATCTAGAAAGAATTGTATGATGTGAGTGCACAAGAAGAGCATATCTTGACGGTATAATCCTAAATGAACAATGAAATTATAGATTTATGTAATTAATTCAATTTTGAGCACCTATGTATGATTCCATGGCCAAGAATTACCCATTTCACTACATTTTTTTAAAGAGTTATTCTTACAACTCTACATTTTATATACCAACCCGTTTTGTGTTTATCTCTCTGCACATATCATTCATTACATTTTGTATTTCTGTTGTAAAGTTTGTTGTACTAGTTGTGGTACAAATACAATTTGTCTGTGAAGTGTTCTCTTCCCCTTCCATTTCTTTACATGTCCTCGTAGTTCAGCATGGTTGTTGATGAGTTGTTGTCACATGGGATTATGCAGGATCCACTTGAGCCAGTTTTATTGTTCACTAAACCTCTACTTCCAGATAAGTTGGCCATGGCAGGCATTATGCCACCGGATTCTATAGCAACAAATGGGGTGTCATCGCCATCGTATAGATTTCGCGGGCGAATGGGTAGAGGTGGTCGGATAATATTTGACCGGTGGAATCCTCTTATGCAAACTCCAATTGATTGTGGTAATTCTTATTATATGCCTCCCAAACCACGACCTTCAACATGTAACTAATTTGTTTTTGTTATCTGATGCTAAAATGGTACCTTTCCTGTTGGTTAGAATTTAATTGATAATCATTGGGAAGGTAAAATGTTGCAATGGAAACTTGTAAACATGATTTAGGTCTGTAAGGTTTTCTCTTCTTTTTCTAGGTACAAGGTCATTCAAGTATTTTTCATTGGGGGCAGTGAAGCTAGATGCATTTTGTATTGATATATCTTCGAGTTTCCTCTGCCTTGGTTCATGCAATGGGTTTTTTATTTTTTTTCTGTATAAAAAAAATAAGGTAAAGCTTCCAAAGAACCAAAATAACACTTTCAAAATAAATTCACATGATAACATCTGAATTTACTTGTGATTTCTTTTTGAGTGGGTCGATTTCAGTTTTGATGCATGCAAATACCTTATTGAAGTCTTGTTAAATGACCTTTTGATCGTGGTTAGCAATACCAATTCTAACTTGGAATCTATTGGATAGAAGTATTTTGGACTCCATATCTTTTTAGAGGCTTTTCAAGTTGTGTTTCCCCCCCCCTCCCCAAAATAAACTACTCCTGCTGTTTCAAGACATTTTATGTAATGTGAATATGAAAACTTTTTTATGCTGCTAAACAACATATTATAAGGCTATTTTTTTTAATGTACAATCCATCATTTAGATGACAATGTTAGTGTATTTTAGTTAGATGACGTAGTCAGTTTACTTTAATGAAGTTATATTTTTGTTATTTGTCTAACATACTGCTTTTACACCATTTCATTTAATTCAGGTTATGTTCGCATGTTTTTTCTTTTATTAACTTTAGTTTAACTTGATTGTATATAAGTATTATTATTGTCATTTTTTATTTAAATTGAGTGTATCAAGACATTTTACTATCAACTAAATTTGTCCTCAAATTGAGTACAAGTATATAATGGAACTTTTGATGAAATACATAAAGTTATCGCTGTTTTACAATAATAAGTTAGTTTACAAGGAAAAACTTTTCAATAATAAGCTGTTAGTTTACAAGGAAAAACTTTTTAAGACAGGAATACTCATTGTTCTAGAGTCCAATTTCACAAGGTGTATTCTAAGCACTACAGGTTTTTTATTTTCTCTCACATGGGACATGTACATAAAGTGTTTATATATTGGACTTAATACGTTCAATTCATCAATAATTTCTGCTGGAGAAGCTTTTCATTATAGCTTGTCTTACTATCATTACCTTTTCAGAATTATGATTAAATTCTTGCTAATACCTTTTATTGTTGCTTTGAAAGTTGTATAAGAGAATTTTTTTGTATCTGTATGTTGCTTCTCTATTCTTGAGAGTACCATGTTAAACATATAAACTACAAACTTTAATGATGGGTATGCTATGTCAAAATGATTTTGGGGATTTTTAAATTACTTATAATTTTTAGATGTTCTTTCATCATAATGATACCCTAGTGTGCACACTTGTAGTCTTTATCTTGTGTCTTCTTTTGAAACTGCAAAAGACCACGAACAATATTTGTTTGATATGCATCTAGTGTTTTGTCCAATCTTCAACAACTTCGTCTAAGTTTTGTTAAGGTCTTGTAATGTGTTAGACATCATCTTATAATTGTTCTATCCCAGATAATATTGTTAAACACGATAAAACATATTATTTGGTATATCAAAATGAGTGTTGTGGAGATGTCTTTTATGTTAGGAATTATGTCTTATTATATATAAATAGATGAATTTGTAAATTCAAGACAACATTTCTAAAATTTTTCTTTATTGACCTAATTTTAATAGCTATTGACCAAACATTGGATGCAGTTAGAAAACGAAATTATTTTTATGGATTTTGAAACATAACTAAAAAAGTAAACATATTAGGATGACTTTAGAATTTGAAAAATCTACCCTTCCCACCTTTGAAGCATCTATTTGAGGTGCACTGATTAAGATGTTATTCCAATTTAAGAAAAACTGAGGTGCACTGAGTTTATTATATATATATACCATCAGCCCTTGCTTTGATAAGTGAATCAAATTCCCTGAACACTTGTACAGCAGTAGCATGTCACTTTTCTTTTATCTTCAGGATTTGGTTCTGGGCTTTTTACTACATGCACCTCCACAATTTCTTTCTGCACCCCCAAAATATTGATAATTTTTAAGAACGATTTTTGGATTACCTGTTACAGAACTCTCCGAAATTTCTGGAACGTGTGAAATGTATTCTGAAATAGGATTTCGAAAACGAACTTTCTAGAAAACATATAAATGCTTTGTTGAATTTCGAAATTCAATAAAAAAAACTCTTAATCAAATTTTGAAAGTTGATGAAAAAAATTCTTTATTGAATTTTAAAATTCGATAAAGTATAAAAAAAAGGGAGATGTAAGGTTTTTCTAATCGCAAAGAACAATTTTGGAATTTTAAAATTTTTTGGAGATGTAGAATAAAATGATTGGATGTGTAGGTGAAACAACCTAATTGATTAGCTGAATTTAATTTTATCCATCTAAAATAAAGAAGGCTATTTCTTTCTACACCTTATCAAATATCTTCCTACAACCCATCGCATGCTTTGAAAATTTTAATCCAGAATAAGGGTGGAATGAGTGCTTCTGAAAAAAATATTCCCGGGTTAGTTTAGCATTTTCCGGAAAGAAAAATCCTGTTAAATGGGTGTTCGAAGAAGTTTGATGGGGTGCAGGAAGAAGTACCTAATAAAAAAATCAACATTATTTTATGCTTATATGCCACTGGCAAGTTCCACTAGAAATAAAAACAAAGGTAGAAAAAGTGCCTCTCGTAAGTCTTTTAACATCACTTTTTACAGTATGTTTTATATTCCTCTCTTTACAATATCACAACAATATAAAATAAAAGTTATTTATGAAGCTCTTAATATCCAAATATTTTTTATATTTCAAAAGTGTAAAATTAAATTATTGAAATTATTAACTATTTTAAATCTTTTTTGGAATAGGGTCTTAATGACCATGATGTCAAGAACTGTTCTTATTTATGTTATAAGTAAAAAATAATTTTAAATTGTTGGAAATTAGGTCATTATATAGATATAAAGTAGACTTAATGGTAAAGTTGAAAAATTAGATGAAAGAGGTTGTAAGTTTAACTCTTCTGCTAATACTTAGAAGTTATAAGATTGGTTTAGTAGATTTGGAAGTGGGAGTTAAGGATATTGTGTTCAATTATAAATTATTTACAAGATTAGAAATAAATCATAAAATTTTCCAAAAAAAATTAAAACTTGTATGCTGATTTATTAATTTATAATAATTATTTTAAAAGTCATGTCTAAACGATTTTTTTTATTGAGAGAATACATACAGATTAAACAAAATTTTCTCCATTTTATATTTTTTTCATAACCTCTGTCATCTAAAAGCGTTTGTTTTTGTATTTCCTTCACGAATCTGTATCTTTCAGACCATAATAACATGTCCCTGCGTGCAAGATCATACCATAATACCATGCACAGAAAATATAATTTTATAAGCTTCGTACAACTTCTTTACAAACATGAACAATGCTAATCTTGGTCCTCTGAGCTACAGCTTTGATTTCAGTGCCAATCTTTCAAACGAGTCCTTGGGACTACCCTGGAGTTAATGAATCATATGCACATTGTAAATCATATTTTCCACAACATTGGAATCCCTTATGAAACATTGGACTTTTCTCATCAATAATTTTCAACTGCTTTCTCCAAACTGTTAGGAAGTTCATCCCTGGAAAGCTGGAAGAATACTTGAGACGAATAAATTAGTTATTAGTTCATGTCAAAGATAAAAGAGTTAAATTACCAATTTAGTATCTGAAATTGTATCTCACTGTCACTAATTCCTGAAAATAGGGAAAACTCAAACAAGTCCCTGAATTGTTTAAAGGTTTTATTTAAATTTCCCAAATTAATCTCTCTTTTTATTTTGATCTCAGAACATATGTTATTATTATCAATTCAGTCATGGATCTAAGGATCAAAATGACAAAAAGAGAGTTAACTATAGGAACTTAAACAAAACTCAAATATTTCAAGTACTTATTTGAGTTTTTCTTAGTTTCAAGAACTAATACAATAACAAGATGAAATTTTATGAACGAAATTCACTATTTATTCAAGACAAAATTGAAAGGGAAATGTGTAATGCTCCTATTACCTTCAAATACATCACAGCCCCGGCATGGAGAAATCATTAGCTGTGTGATAGATTCTGCAAATTATTAGTAACCCTTTGAAGAATTGATGCATCAGCCAGATTTCTGGATTACATCCTTAGCAACTCTAAACTTCTTAAGTACCAGATGATTTAGAAAACATCATCCTGTACATCGGGGCCTGACGCTCTAAAACATGTTTTTCCCAATCTGATCTTACTCCAAATGGGTTTTCCTCAAGCCACTCACTTTGTCCATACTCCAAATCAAGCTTACTCTTGCCGTATCTCAAAAATTGTTCTTTCATTCTTATTGCCACGGCTTCTACATCAGATTGCAGATAGATCTGGTCAATGTCAATAGTCTAAGTAAGCCTCAGTATTAACAAACTCAAACTTTTCAAACAATTCAAGTAAAGTCACAACTCAGGACAACAAAATGTCAAAAAGGCACAATAAATATAATACTGATAAAACAAATACTTTTCTAGTTTTTTTGTTGGCTTCCCACTCAGATCTGATAAGCAATTGTGTTTTTTGGATTAATGGGGAAGACCTGACCATCAACTGCACATTGATTGAGGAAATACTAGTAGAACTCCTTCAAAGTCTAATTACCTTCCCATTGGGTGCTAGAAGATCCACTACTGCTTCAATTAAAGATCTCTGAAGCATCCTCCATCTGTGCTCAGGCTTATTGAAATCGGGGTTTGGACACTGCAGAAAATAAAGCCAGAATAGAGACTAGGGCTAAGCAGTTGACGGAGAAAAGAAGAAAATTACAGAAAATGTGATTACCACTAATTTGCTTTAAATTCATAGAACCTCATTTACCATAAGGAATAAGTTTGGAGCCCCCTAAAACTTGTCCTTCCAAAAAAATTTAGTTCTTATTGTGATAGCAAATTTTCTCAAATGTTAACCAATCATATAGGAAGGTTGTGACATCAAACAATGAACATTTTATATCCTGTGAGAAAATACGAACAGGAAAAATTGCAAAATCAGGCCACAAATAATTGCTATGGTAATTTTGGCTTTAGCAGAGTAATATTGCTAGAATGATCAGGCTGGCAGATATAACTAAGAGTTATATGTGTCACCAAACAATGGTTCAAAATTAGTCCTGTAGTTATTTTACTGTATGCAAGTCTCAGTCAGTCAATATGCAGAGAATGATCAAAGCTTCCATGAAACTTCTAGTGATGGTCGTGAGAAAAATGTAGGGAGAAGACTCGAAGGATTTGGATTTATCTAAATGAACCCTTAAAAATTAGTTAGTAAGGTGAGAACCGAAAAAGCTTCATAAGTTCTATTTAAGTCACATTTCTAGTCAATGTGAGATTAAATCATCATCCTTGAGCCTACAATTAAGACAGCTCCAAAAAGATCACAACTAAGGTGGGTTAGGAATGACTGCAACTAAGACAACTTTCCATCACAAAAACTAGTTAGGTTGCAGCAGAGAATTGGCAGCAATGACAACAGCATCATTACATCCCCACAGTAGCTTGCTGACTGCTAAACAATTAGTTGTGCCAAAGAAATTGCTTATTGGTGATAATAGTGTGTATAAATAAAATGCCTCAAGATGAATGATGTCAAAAAAAGGTGGTCAATATGATAGAAACCAACTAGTATAGAAATTGTATTAAATTACTGTTACAAGATCTGGTCTATAATTTACCATATTACACATAACACATAAACTGAAATAAAACAAGATATTGAATATAGTAAAACTAGGTATAGGACTAGTCTTCCTTGTGTAGAAAATACACATAGGACAATGTATTTATAATAATGAGAATGTAGGCTAAGCCCAAATACAAATGAATATGTAAAAATAACATAATTAACATGGGGACTATGTTTTCCTAATTAATATAAAATGCAATATATTTAACACTCCTCCTCAAGCTTGTGCATATTAATCGTATGTACCAAGTTTGTTACAAATATCATCAATTCTCAGTTTTCCTAAAGACTTAGTGAAAATATATGCTAACTGATCATTTAAGTTGACGAACTCAGTCTTGATGTCTCCAGATACAATCTTTTCTCGAATGAAATGACAGTCAATCTTAATGTGTTTGGTTCTCTTATGAAAAACAAGATTTGAATTGATATGAAAAGTAGCTTGATTCTCACATATAAGTTTCATTTGAGTGATAACTCCAAATTGTAACTCTCTAAGCAATTGTTTAAGCCAAACAAGTTGACAAGTGGCTGAGGCCATATCTCTATATTTTGCTTCTGCCCTAGATCTTGCCACAACACTTTGTTTCTTGTTTTTCCAAGAGATCATGTTACCACCAATGGTAACATAATACCCCAAAAGTAGATATTCTATCAGAAGGAGATCGAGCCTAATCAACATCTAAATAGCAAAAAATTTTTGTATGGTTATTGGAATCATATAACAAATCTTTTACAAGAGATCCTTTAATGTACTTTAATATACGGATGACTGCATTCCAATTATCTTCACATGGGGAATTAATAAATTGGCTCAGCACACTATTTGCAAAGGAAATGTCAGGATGAGTAACTATAAGGTAATTTAATTTCCCAACCAATTGTCTATACTGCTTAGGATCTGAAATAGGATCCCCCTGATTTGGTAGGAGTTTGATATTAGGATCCATGGATATGTCAACAGTTTTTGAATTCATAAACCCAAATTCCTAAAAAATATCCAATACATACTTCTTTTGAGATATAACAATACCATCATTAAATTGTGCTACCTCAATACCCAAGAAACATTTGAGTTTGCCAAGATCATTGGTTTGAAAATGGTGGCAAACATGTTGTTTCATCTAGGAGATGCCATGGTGGTCAGTGTCCGTAAGAACAATGTCATCAACATATACTATCAAATAGACACATCCAACACTTGAGTGGTGGTAAAAGATTGAATGATCTGTCTCACTTCGAGCAATACCAAATTGTTGAACAACACTGCTAAATTTTCCTAACCAGCCCTAAGAGACTGTTTTAGGCCACATAAAGATTTGCAAAGGCGACATACCAATACAGAAGACTCCCCCTAAGCAACAAATCCGAGAGGTTGCTCCATATATATTTCTTCCTTCAAATCTCCATTGAGGAAAGCATTTTTGAAATTGAGTTGATAAAGAGGCCATTATTGAAGAGCAACCATGGTTAGAAATAAACAAACAAAAACCATCTTTGCCACTCAAGAAAAAGTATCTCCATAATCCAATCCAAAAATTTGTGTAGCCTTTAGCTAGAAGTCGAGCTTTGAGGCGATCAATAGTATCATCAGGACCAACTTTGATAGCAAAAACCCATCTGCAACCAACAACAGATTTCACAGACAATAGTGGGACGAGCTCTCAAGTTCTACTATTCTAAAGAGCACATAGTTCATCTGGCATGGCCTATGCCAACCAGGATGGGCTAAGGCATCACTAATAGATTTAGAAATGGACACAAAAGAAATAGACGAAAGGAAGGTATAAAAAGGTGAAGATAATCTATGGTAACTCAAAGCAATATAAGGTGGATGTTCTCTTCCTCTTGTCTCGCACATATTTCACATTTTTCGCCTACACTTCATTTAATTGTTCAGCATTTTTCACATTAGCTCCCGCATTGCCAACAAGCCTTCCAACCCCCTTTCCAATGCTTCCACCCTTGAAATCCATGCTTCGTGTTGTCACCATGGATGGTCTCCAGGAACATAGAGCTCTAATACCAGTTGTTAGAAACCAACTTGTACAAAAATTGTCTTAAATTACTATCACAAGATTTGGTCTATAATTTACCAGATTACACATAACACAACAGAACACATAAACTGAAATAGAACAACACTTGGGACAATACACATCTTCCAAGTTACCAAGAACTTGGTCTCTCCCTTTCCAGATTTCCTCTCCCATCTAATCTGCCTTTTCCCTCCCCTTCACTATTTCCCTGCTGTTCTCATAACTGCCTAGGCAGTTATGCTTGGCCCTAATAAAATATTGAAAACTATCAAACTGATTACAGAATTGTCAAAAAACAATAACTGTCCTATTTACTATAGACCCTGCAAAATCTTTATTTCTGGTTTCTCCATTTATAGTGCTTAATTATCAAGGCCAGCATGCTGCAAATTCGTTCATTGGTGCAATGATAGCAATTCATGCGCATCAACACTCAACAAAAGTGTGCACACATAGTAGAATCAATAGCAAAGAACAGGCCCGCAATGCTCAACGTAATGTAATAATTCAAAATATAACAAAATTTAATTTATTGACCTGTATTGAGACAAGAACTAATTGTCCTGGGTAAGTAGAAACAATAGAACGGAATGTTGATGTTGCATTGGTAGCAACAAAGTACCTAGAATAGAGAAAACAGGAAACCGAAGCTAAGAAAGTTTAACAAAGGAATTAAATTTCAACCACGAAGGAACTCTAATTAATCACATGATCGATCATAAGTGCATGTGTGCTTATAATAAGTTCAGAATGTTCGTGTGTCATTCCTTGATGTTGAACTAAGATAAAATTTAGATTCATTGAATCCAATAAAAACGAAGATACTGCATCAATTTGTACAATGAAAGCAACATATTTACCCATTCTTTATGCCATATTGATGAATAGAATCCTGGCAGCGCAAGACATGCTGAAAAAGATGTTAACAGGAAGATAAGAAAATTATTAAGTAAAAGCCTAGTACGGAAAATAGAAAACAGGGTAGAAGAGAGATAAGAGGACATGACGAGTAGGGAACCTTTTCATTGATCTCCAAACCGAGGAAGTTTAAATCTTGCCTCCTTCTAGCCATTTCAAGAAGGAAAAGCCCATTGCCTGTAAATAAGAGCAAACTATATTTGGGAAAAACCAGTAGCACAAGTTTTCTATTTAATCTACTGTCTCTGAGTCCCATGCTTCATCTTTTTCTGTTACAGAATTTGGGAATTTTTACAAGGATTTTAGGTTAAACTTAACAGAAAAATTTATGTAATGACAATGCACTCACATCAACTGTATGTTTTATAGTGCATGAGAACTTTAGGAAATGTTTCTAGTTGCAAAGTTTTATATGCTACAAGCATAATGAACATTAATTTAAAAAAATACCACTTCCAATATCCACAACCAGAGACTGAGTTGGGTCAGAATAAATGCTGCTCCAGTTGATCTCAAAAGGGTATCCCTGAAACATGTAACTACCATAAGCAGTAATAATATCAATCATGCATAATGTTCAGACACTTTAAGTTGCTTAAAGCAAGATCAGTTTTGTTGGAAGTCTCACATCGACTAGAGATAAGGCCAAATTATAATATATAAGTGGGGTGCAAACCTCACCATACAAGCCGGTTTTGTGGGGTTGAGTTAGGCTTAAATCCACTTCTTAATATGGTATCAGAGCCATGGTTGGAGCCTTTCCTAGCGAAATCTATGTGGGCCTTCTGTTCCACCCATTGTTGGGCCACTATCGGACCATCCATTAATTCTACTCTCACGCTCGAGATGTCTATACCTTGGCGTGAAGGGGGTATGTTGGAAGTCCCACGTCGACTAAAGATAAGGCCAAATTATAATATATAAGTGGGGTGCAAACCTCACCATACAAACTGATTTTGTGGGGTTGAGTTAGGCTTAAATCCACTTCTTAATAAGTTTCATTAGCATGATTAAACGACATACTATAAGTTAACTGCATTGATGATAAAATATCAATATTGACCTCATCTTCCTAATTCCTATATGTTAGTTACATTCTGTTACGAAATTAGTTAGTTAATATAGTTAGGATATTGATAGTTAGTTGTGACTTAAATAGACAGTAGGATGTATGGAGAAAGAGAGGAAGTTGGTCACTTTTGTAGATTGAGCATTAGTTCTTTGTTAAAGGAGAAATCAATTGTGAAGGGAAAGGCCTTGGAGGAGAGAGAGTGCTCTCGTATGTATTGATCTTTCATTCTATCAAAAAAATCTATTTTCTTTCTATTTTCATTCTTGGTATTGGAGAATATTCTCTTCTTTGCTAAGAATTGCTTCTCTGTTTCAGCCTTTGCACAACCGTACCCTAAGGGAAGCTTCTATAAATGCTGCCTCTGTATTTAATTTTGAGTTAAAACTGAAATGAAAAACTCTGATAAAATCACGAAAAGTACAACTGGAAACAAGACTCTGTCTTGTAAATCTTTATTGCTTTATTTTCAATTCTGCACCTACCAATGTAATATGCATAGAAATGGCTTAGAATGTTACAACATATTTTCCCCAGAGGTTGTTCGAGAGAACCTCACTCTCCACAACAATCCTGAACTTTTCCTCCTTTCCTCCCAAAAATCACTCCCTACACACCTCCTAATAAGACTATTTATAATAGTCTATTACAGTTATGTAATTACAATTGTACTAACTACCTTCTTTTTTCCTTCTTTTGTAAACTGTATCAAACCTATCAATACCCCCTCCATCAAGATTCACCTTGTCCTCAAGGTGAAATTCTAGAAATTCTTTATAATGCAAGTAGAAAATTCCCAGCTATTCTCAATATCTGAAAATTTATGTCACCTTCAGTGGTCTTTCTAGTATCTAGCAGTTGTTATAGATATACTTCTAGAATATAGTCTTCAGTAAGTGGAGGAGGCATGGATTGGGTAGATGTGGTAGGCTGCCCTCCCTGGTGACTAGTGATGCTACTTGTTATGTTTGAGGTCTCCCCTTTCTCTCTGTAATAGGCAGAAAATGGCTTAGAATGTTACAACATATTTTCCCCAGAGATTGTTTAAGAGAACCTCACTCTATTAGGTTTATAAAGGAGGAGGTTCACTAGGGAGATACAACACCAATGAGACCTAAATCCAACCACATAAGAGATTGACATCACTCTCTAACTAAAACTTTAAAGGAATGGGTTAATGGGTCTTCATCTTTATTTGGTGCTCTAGTTTTTCATTTCTACTTTCAAGCAATCTCCCCCTTCAAGGGTGAGTCCTTTCCACATTGGTACACTCCCCCTCCAACGAAAGCATTCCCAACCACGAGTATCCCTTCTTGTACTGTCGTTCATCTTAATGGGAATGGGACACGCTTACCTGGACCCATGCTAGGAAGACTTTTGATACAGGGACCATGGTAGTCATCTGAGTCTAACCAAGCTCTGATACCACTTGTTGGGTTTATCGAGGAGGAGGTTCACTAAGGAGATACAACACCAATAAGACCTAAACCCAACCACATAAGGAATTGACACCACTTTTTATCCAAAACCTTAAGGCAACGGGTTAATTGGTTTTTATCTTTATATGATGCTCTACTTTCTCATTTCTACTCAATGTGGGACTTAGACTCACACTTGGAATTCTAACACACTGTCCACAATAATCTTGAACTTTTCCTTCCTTTCCTCCCCAAAAACACTCCCTACTCACCTCCTAATAAGACTATCTATAATAGTCTGTTACAGTTATGTAATTACAACTGTACTAACTACCTTTTTTTTTCCTTCTTTTGTAAACTATATCAAACCTAGCAAATTCCAATTTCAGTTTAGCTTTTTCTCTTTGAATTTCTCTATGATGGCATCAATGTGAAGTTGACAAGCATGTGCGTTCATCTGCATGTGGAAGTATTCATGGATTTTATTCCATACTTGATATGAGTGAATTGAGTCAATGACTTGGGAGAGAACAGATTTTGACAGTGTTGATTGAAGTCAGTTAAGTAACATTTGATCCTGAACTTCCCAAACTTACTATTCAGGAATGAAATTATCACATCAGGATCTCGATCAGTGAGACATCTAGGAGGAATCAATGTGCTAACGACAAACCTTTGAAGTTTGTGACACTTCGTAACGGTTCAATTTTGATGTTGCCAAAAATCATTTTAGTCATCCAGTTTCTCAACGACAGAGCTAGGAAAAGAGTGGGGCATGAAAGGGATGGGATTTGAGGTAGCCATAGGAGAAAAAAAAAATCAAGGTCAAGGTTTACCAATAGAATGTGTTTTAATCTATGACTTGGTTCCTATAACACAATCATTCACAATAATGACTATATATACTATCTCTGTTAGGAATGGCTCTAGGACTGAGAAGAAAGGGGAACAACCTTTCTAGGTCTATTATAGAAGGAAGGCGCTACACTGTAATCAGTTAGAACCGGGTAGTTAGTTAGTTAGTTATGCGGTTCAGGAGTAAGGACCTAAGGAGTAGGTCCTCAATGGTAATTGGGATTTTTTTAGCTTTTGTTTTCTAGCATCTGTGTATCTGGTTTTTTTAGAGTGCTTTTTTTTAGGGTAATTTTGTATACCATGTTGCTTTGATTGCTATAACTGTTGTGAAGAAATATTATTCCTTTCAGTCACACTATTTGTAATAGAGACAGTGATATTGTGCTAGGATTTCTGCTTTTGGTTCCTAACAATTCCAACATGCTGTGGAAAAGAATTATGTTTTTATTAATTCTTCTATCACTTAAATGTATTCAAAAATATGTTGTACACCAAATTTTGTCTAATTTAGTAATAAGTTCATTAAACAACAAATATATTTGCTTTTAAGGAACATTCATATATATTGGTTTCCTCTCCCCAGTATCTAAAATAATGGACTCAGATGGCCATGTTTTATTTTGTTAGAAAAAGTTCACAAAAATAATGATATAAATTACATAATCTCAAGAAACTAGAGTCATCTCTATAAATTCCAGCGGTAAAATCCTAACAATGCAAGTTCAAGAGACATGCAAGGTAGTTTTGATAATTAAAATATTTTGAGCATACATTGAATTATTCTCCTGAAATATTTAGTGGAAGAGAATGGTATAGAAAATAGTGCTTATCAAGGCATACCCTGTCGACAGCCATAACACCAGGGAGCTTTCTTCCTTTGAGAAATTCCCATACAACAGAAGCATCCTCAATGATATTTATAAAGGACAATGAACTTTTTTCCTGTCTCACTAGTTTGCTTGCCATAGTCCCAACAACTGTTATTTCACAGTTGTTTTGGCCTAGTTTGTCTAGAATTCTTGCCAATTTAGAAGCCCCGTTGGTGTATTCACTTGAATAATCAAATTTCACAGGACCAATCCAAATTATTTTCTGCAATGGATTCAAAGAAAAATGTTATCTAGTTCCTTGTTACATTTCAAAATCGATAGATAATAAATTTTTTTAGAATGAAAACAGTTATTCATTATCAATACCTAAAGTCATTGCATGATATTGATTACATGCACAAATTACAACTAAAATTAGCAGAAAAGATGAAAGAATCAAATGCTCATTTTAATAAAAGATTCCCAGAGCAGAAATGTTAAATCAATCCCAATTACATAGTTATCTATAGATTCTTTAATATATATTAAGAAAATAAACCAATTGTAGTTTATGCTTGATGCCTATGTATAAACAAATTAGTAATGTACCTTACAAGTTCTAAGTGTAGAGTCGATTTCATCCAATGATACAGGTCCTAGGTCCACAGGTACCCAATCTAGATCAAAATCAAATCTGCATTAATTTTATTTGCTGAACACAAGTAATATATACATGAATATCTAAGTAGCACAACACAATCCCTTATCAATGTGAAGAATAGCATACCATCCAAAATTCCATGAGAACGAAATAATTGCATTTGCTTTGGATCACTCTTTTTCTGGCACCAAAAGTCTTTTGGATACAGAAGCTGCACGTTTCTATCTTGAGCAAGTCTCACTATATCTAGAGCTTCATTAACTGCTTGATGGTCAACTAAATCACACGGAATTGATACTCCTAATGCGTGCATTACTTGAAATGACATCATGCCCACAAAAACAAACACTTGGCATCTGGAAGCTAAGAACTGAAAAGAAGCTGCTTTATCATAAAGATTACCCCCTCCAATCTGGATTGCAAGAGAAACAAACAGTGAACAAATTTATCAATAAAAGTACTTGAAACTTTCTTGAATGTAAAAGTTATTAATTATAACAAATAACATTAACAGCAAAAGGGACATACAATTGCTACATATGGCTTTGTGCTGGCTTCTGCAAGATTCTTCAGTTGATCAAGCCTCTCCTCAAAATGAAAACCAGCTATACAGGCGTAGCAGAAACGGGTAACACCAACAGTAGAGGCTAGAACTTTATGACAGTTGGAGAAGGAGTCGTTGACAAAGATATCAACTCCTGATGATAATATTCTAGAAAACTCCAAACTATTAGCAACTTCCTCTTTGAAATTAGAAAGATTCTCAAGAAGATGGATATTCTCTTTCTCATGGCTATTCATCTTTGCTTGCTTCTTAAAATACATGGCATGGAGTGGAACAATTTGTATTTGAAGAACTTCTGATAAGAAATCTACAGCAAGAAATTATCAATCATCCAATATGGAAGCTCCTTACATAAAAAATGACATCTGTTAATTCCATTGCCCACATAGTTTAAAGTTTCTTTTTAGTAAGTTTGTTCTGTCTTTCCTCCCATTATAAAACTAGAATTGCTATAAGCAGTTCAATTGATGACATACTAGCTAAACATGGCAACTAACGGAAAGGATTGAACAAAAAGCCTTTAAGAAAGTACCTGTAACTGAATCTGTGTGATGTTCTGGAATATTCATATTCCAATCACTGACCAAGATGACATTTGCCCCAGCTTTATGCAAATATTTAATTGTATATACTGCATTAGAATCTGATTCATTCTTCAAGTCGCACTCTCTCTTGACTAATATGTTAGAATCAAATCTGACCATGACAACTTTTCCAAAAAGCTCCTCCCTAGGAAATTCTCTAAGAGTTTGTATATGAGGAATACCATTCAACTCTCCACCATTACTAAAGTAAATCTAACAATAAAACCATAAAATTTAGGGCCAAAACAAAATAAGCAACAAATAATGCTGTTAAAAAGTATACAATAACCAAGATTGATTTAATGTTAGTAATTTTTTTATTTCATCAAGACATAAACACAAAACTCATACCACATCGAATGGAAAAAGTTAAGATCCAAACAATAGAAGCATATTTAGTTATGCGTTCTTAAAAATTGGCTTTATGGCTAATTCAAGTCTCGAACTAGCTCAAGGTATGAGGGTAAATATAGTTGATGCGAAATTTCCTACACACACCCCTCATACTAAGGAGTGGACATCTCAAATGTTACAAGACTAGATATCTATATGTAGTGTAATGAAGGCCTAATAAAAAGTGGCCCGATTGACCCAAAAATAATCATTAGAATATATTTTAATATCATCTTAAAATTTAGATTTAGGCCTAACTCAAAAGAAAAACCTAGCTTATGAGGTAAGCATATGCACACACACACATATATATTATTTTGACCATGCCTTTAGTAGATGTGGGATCTCTAACATACAGTAAAACCAACAACCATTAAGAATGATATTTTACCACTAAGCATGTTATTTTTATGAATATAAAATCAATCTTGAGCATGCACCTAACAAACTAATATTGGTCCTTGCAATATCAAAACCTTTGTGACCAAGTGGTCAGGACATAGGAGGAATTCATTCCTTGTAACCATTGCAATTCATAACTAAAGTGAGTTTCAGCACAAGACTTAAAAGCCTATGCTTTGTTCAACACACCTATATGTATATATTGTAAACTGGCTTTATCTCTAGTCAATGTGGGATTTCCAATACACCCCCTTACATCGAGGTATATACATATCGAGCGTGAGACTAGACATTAATGGGTGGTCCATTAGCGGCCCGATAGTGGGTGAAATGATATACCCAACAAACACAAATCTCGCTAGGAAAGACTTTAACCTACCTCTGATACCATGTTAAGAAGTAGACTTTAAGCCTAACTTAACTCCACAAAACTGGTTTGTAGGGTGAGGTTTACACCCACATATATACTATAAATTCGCCTTATCTCTAGTCGATATGGGACTTTCAAAATATTAAAACTCCAATGGGTTTTGCGAAAGGGTCAAGTTATGTATGTTATGACCTGTATATTAGGGCTTGTTCTTGTATATTTAGGAGAGTTGGTAAGAGAAAAAATGCATGTGAGTGACAAAAAGAAACTTTAAGTTTCTCATAAATAAATTTAGAATATAGTGTAGTATGTGATGAGATACCATTCCGGATTTTATTATATATGAATTCTAAGGGGATAGGTGTAATCTAACTTTGATAGGCTCTCTACTTCAGTGGGTTTTACTATAGTCTCTCTACTATGTTTTGTATCTTTTATTTTATTTTTAATTATATTTTGGGCATGCTGCAAATGATTGATATAACTTGGGATGCCAACCTAGTAAAACTTACAATTTATATAGAGATATCTTTGCATACCTATGTTCTATAAAAGAAAAGTATGAGCTCATATCATCATCCATAGATATCCAACAACCTCTATTAGAGCACCCGAGAAAAGACATAATAATGACAGTTAGTGTGTGCCTCCAGGATTTTTGCAGTTACTTTCTCTCTTTCTCCCTGACTTTCAACCTCTCTCCCTCTCTTTCCCTTCCTACATAGTTATCAGTTACAACTTATCATTAAATATCGTGGCACAAAAAGGACCTGTTAAGTATCTCACCTTATGGTTAAACAAGTTCGCAACATGATTTGTTATGTCCCCACTGCCTGTCAAAACTAACTCCAAATAAAGCACAGTAACAGAAAACAAATAACAAATTTCAAAAAACAAAAATCCTTAAGACAACCTTGCAAAGGCAGTGGGGCTCCATTAAACTCAAGAAACTTGGCAAATTTTCCAGTATGAGCATATCTTATTTGTTTAAACAACTTGGGAAAGTCACTGAAATATAATTTGTTGGAGAGAACAGTTCCATGCAGAAGATTTACAGGGTGGCCCATCATCAATTTCCCAAGATTGAAGCTGCAAATTGTAAGAGAAAACAAACGAACAATGAAAATTGCATAACAGAGGAGAAACTAAGAATAATAAAAGATGGTCCAATACATCATCCACAAACCCTCACAAACACTCACATAAAAAACCAATACAGATACACTCGCATAACAGTTGAACTTAACATAACACATTTTGTCAAATTGAACTTAATAAATAAATAAAAGTGTTCAAAGTGTGATGAAATTAGAGTGTGACAGTGAAGTGAGAAATATTTCAAGTTTACAACCCAAATGAAAATTTTGTTGACTTTAAGACAAAATTCAATCTTGCAAAGCTTGCTGTTTGTTTCTTTAGTTATTACCAACATTGAACTACAGAACGAAGAAGCAAAACTCACCTTAGAACTGCACTGCCCCTTTTCCACGGTTGCCAAGACAACAGTGTAATTCGGTGAGACGATAAAACGACATGATACAACCTGTCGTTTTGGTTTTAATCAAGGCTAATTAGGGCGGGTTGAAATAATACTTCCCTATGAATTATTAAAAAGAAAATTTTAAAAAATCAAAATATTTTTTTTCACAACTTAAAATTAGTTTATAAAAGATAAAAATAGTTTAGAGGAATTAAACATTTAGGACAATCTTGAATTTAAAGATGGATTTGAGAAAATACACATAAGATAATTATTTAGAATAAGAAAAATAGGTTATAATGGGAGTGAATTTAATATCAAAATTGATGTATAATATAATTTATATGATAGATTAAAAAAATATTTTAATAAATAAAATTATATGATTATTATTTTTAAAAAAAATTGTAACATCTTATTTTAATAGCATAAATCCATTAAAATAAGAGTTACAAAGATGATAACTACTATAGAAAATTATAGGTTTCTAAAAAAGAAGATTCTACACCTAGAGAACAAAAACCTGTGCAGCTTCATCCTCAACCTTGTGTTGAAACGAATGGAAAGATATTTCTTCTAAGCTCACACCATTTAAGGTGATCATTGCAAAAGAGAAAACATACACAAACAAAGACAAAAACAAATGTAAGCTAATGATAAAAAGAAATCAACAAGATATATTAGTATTGCATCATACATCACATTTCACCTAGTGTAAAACAACCATCCTAATCATGACATAGACCTAAACTTGACTATCCGGATATAATAATGTTGACTCACCCCTATCACACAAGGTTAGTCCGTAAACAAAAGTCTTTGGCCAAGGCAAAGGCCCTAGACTAGGATCTCCTGCTAGTCTCACCAGATGCCTCACCCCTCTCTACTTGAGAATGAGTGACCATTAGAGTGTCAAGATAAACCACTGATACTTAGTTCATACATTTTGTTAAAATAGAATGACTCAATTTCTCACACCAAAGAGGGGGGGGGGGGGGGGGGGGGGGGGGGGGGGGGGGTGAGTTGGTGAAACGTAAAAACAAAGTCTTTTAAAATCTTTTTCGCAAAAGGTGATGCCTTTAAAGCTTTCTTAAAACGCAAGGTAAAAGACTTTTTAATGCAGCAGAAACTTAATCGAATAAGTACAGAGTAAAGTCGATTAAAAGTAAAAGAGTAGGGATCAGAAGATTCAAATACTACTTTTTATACTGATTCGGTCAACCTACCTACATCCAGTGTCCTTCCAACCACGATAAGCAAATGCACTATAATGATCAAGGTTTTTAAAACAAGGATTTTATAGAGACCTCACGTCAAAAATATAAAACACCTCTCTAACCCTCTAATCAAATATAGGCAGATAATAACTAGACCAGTAACAAGAATCACCTCTCCTGTTATCTAAATCCTTTGAGACATCTCTCAAAGTCAAGAACGCCGCACACTCTTCTTCCTGTAGTCATAATAGGGAACCTCAATCCAATCTTCACAAGATTGTAGATTCTGATCTCACAGTTACACCCAATTGTGCAAAATTGATCAGCCCTTTGAATACACAACAAACTTGCTCTTCAAGAAATCACAAGGAGATGATCACCACGGTCACTTCTTGATTCTTGGAGCTCTTTTTCTCTTTCTGCAAGATAACACTTTCTGAAAAATATCACACAAACTGTTAGATTCACAAAAGTTCTTACAGAAATCAAATTCGCGTTAATTTATAGTATAACACATCTCTAACGCATTTTAATTGACCAAGCTACTAATGCAGTCGAATATAACAACTCTGTTATAACAGTTAGCAGTAGTCAAAGCAATTAATTGAATTCACAATTAATGCAGTCGAATGACATTTAATGCTTGGTCAACATATTTAAAAATATGACCTTTAGACATTTATATCAAGCATTAACAGAATTTCAAAACAGTAACATACTTAGTCGGATGCAACACGCATATAATCGACTATGTAATAGTCTAAATCATAGTTTTGAAAAACTTTCTCTTTGAAAATTCGTACAACACACTTTGAAAAAGGTTTGTGCAAAGACACGAGTTTTAATCGACTCACCCCATAATGAAATCGACTTAAAAATTGTTGTTTTGCCACACAATTAAAACTCAACATTAATGCTTGTGGTTTTTCTTATCTAGAAACATGTGTCATGCATTCATGTATAAAATCACATATATAACACAATGAAATGGAATGAACAACACATCAACAACACAATTATGTTCTCATATACGCATATAGCATGTAAGCATAGAACATGTAACATATAATACACATGTGTTATTAATTATGCGTTGTCATGATCAAAAACTCAAATATTAATGAGATTGTGGGTTCAGCTAAACCAGTGCTCCCCCTATCAACAATCTCAACACATTCATATAGATAACACATTGATAACCACCAATAAGAATTTCGTTCTTGGAATTCCTTTCCACGCTTTTTTATCCACATACACATCTTTCCTATAAACGCAGTGCACAAACACATGAAACCACTAAACATTCATCAAAGTACCAGAAACAACATATCAAAAGATCACAAAACAACATAAACACCCTAGACCGAGACTAGACAAAGGGCGTTCAGCACTAGAAACAGGGCACTCATCACCATAGCGGTTGAAAAGTGACGCTCTGCGCCCAAAAGGCATTAAGCCCATTTGACATTTCCAACAACACCCAAACTTAAAACTACACCTTTTAACTCAAAACCCTGCAAATTAAGGGTCTTAGCAAGTCATAAATGGTCTAATAACAGAGTCCAAACTCTCTATTTATGTTCAAACTTACTACATCAAAATCTCGCTATCCAAAACCTTTAAATTGAGACTCAAAACCTTCTTAAACCACTCCAATAACTCATACTCACTTCCACATTAGATGTTCGCTTAACTCAACATCTAAACAAGTCCTAAAATACATAAAAACTAACGTTAAACTTCTGGTTTTAACATCTAACCATAGAGTCTCCATCAGAGGACTCTGCATCAGATGAGTTGTCTTCCCTTCATTGATGATTATTGTCTATTTTTGATTCAAGATGTGTAAATTTTTCATTCAGATGTCTAAATTGTTCAACAAAAAACCTTTCAAAGTTTGTTTCAGGAAAGAAATTTGTGCACTCCTCATTCACCGCAGGTGTGCTTCCTGAACTATGAACCAAATCTTCTTCCCCTTTGAAACACCATCCTTTCACTGCTTTTACCAGCCCTAGAGAAGCCATAGTGTTTCTGTTTATCACATTTATGCAGTTGCAAGAACATCTCTGTTCTCCATCAACATCCACACCTTGAAGAGTTAATATTCTGCTGACCATGATTGCATAAGGCAGATAATGAGATTTATTGAGTGCAGCTTCAACCATGTGATCTTTTAATACCTCAACCCAGTTGGTGGGAACATCATTCTTGATTGCATACAACAGATATACATCCTCAGTAGTCATTCTATCCTACAGCAATCTTCCAGGTAGAATCACCCATGCAAGAAGGTGAGCTGTTATCTTTTCTTCCATGTTTAGACCTTCATGCACGAAAAGTCTTTCTATTGTGTATCTCCCTGGAAATCTCAGCCAATTCCTGAAAATATCTCTTTTCTTCAGCCAACGATTTGTTTCTGAGTTTGGTAAATGTGAAAATATACCTTCAACCTTTAATCCAGCAACTTGTTGCCATACATTATTGTCAATGTAGATATTAACACCTTTCACCCTTGACTGAATATCACCATTGACAATTTTCAAGTTGTTGTAGAACACCCTTACTAAATCAGGGTACCAGTCACCCTTCATTTGAACTAATGTAGAGAGCTCTTGAGTCTCAAGCCATCCTGGAAACTGAAAACCCTCTCTTTCAAAAAGACTTAAGCTTAAATACTTAAGGGGAACAACAATTTTGACCCTTCCATCCAGAAATCTCACTCGAGTCTCATCATCACTGATCCAGCCAGAATGACTTGCATTTCTTTCAACCACTACTGCTTTTCCTCTACTTCGTCCTGAGGGATGAGATGAAGACGCCATGTGATATTGAGCTCTTGGACACTCTTCTTCAGCTCTAGGGTTATGAGGATTACACAGATAGAACACACTAAATGCTAACACATTTTTTCAAACTTGATATGTATGAGGGTGTGAACTAAAAACACATACTTAGGCCCATTCAAATTTTCAAAATAAGAAGGCCCATAATAGAGATTATTAATCGGTTTCATTAAATCCAAAGTCGACTTAATGTTTAACGGCGTGATCTCAAAAACAGAGAAACACATGCCCAAAACATATTCGACTTAACACTTAATAGAATTGATTAAAAATCGAGCAACTTAATTTTCACAGAAAACACTCACTCAAACAGGCATACAACTAACATGCATTTAACAATCAATCATACATACAATTTTGATGCATAATGCATTAAGAGAATTACAACAGTTACCACTTTTTGAATCTCAAGAGCTTATGAATCCTACATTGTAGTTCATCCTTGAGTTCTATACTGTTTCACCTGCAGCTACTTTCCTGCAAAACAATTAAACGATTTTGACGTTGTACCCATTTGAACTTGGGTCCTGTCTTGTTAGTTGCAGGAGGTAGTTCCTTAGGAATCCATTTGAATTTTCCTTTAGGAACTCCAACCTTTCTGTAATAGCAGTTTCTAACATTGTGACCAATGTTGTTGCAGTAAAAACAGACATTAGTAGTAGGTTTACTCATATCAGTAAATTTCTTTGAGTTTATCCTATTACTTTTAGCCTTATAACCAATACCATGTCTGTTGATTGCTCTTCCAGAAGCTCTTAGCAAAACATCTAAATTTTCTTTACCTTGTGTAAATTTTGCTAGTGTGCTAGTTAAGTAATCAATTTTCTCAATATGCACTGGACAATTACCACATTCTTTTTCAACAATTTTTGTCTCTATTTTAATTGTCTTTGTAGATTTTAAAGCAATTTCAAGTTCTTTTTCAAGCTTTTCATTATCCTTTACTAGATTATCAATTCTATATTCATAGTCTCTTCTCTTAGAGGATAATCGATTTACCTTATACTGGAGTCGC